ACGAGAAACCACACCACAACACAATGAAATTTCACTCGAAAGCACAATATACAAAATACGAACAGGCGACACGCACTCCATGCTAGAAACGCCCCCACGCTGCCCGCCAACACCTGACATACATAGCGTTGTGTCAATATGATTGAGCACAAAGCACACTTACATCGCCTTGGCCGCCACATCGTCTGGGAATACCTCGACTAGGTTGCTCCACAGCTTGCCACGTTGGATTAGTCCCACTGGATAAACCCCAAGTTGTTTTTCGTACTAGTGTAGCCGTCGGAAATCACGTCGATCTTGCCTTTTTGAAGCACCGTCACATGGCCTAGCGCTGCGGCGACTCGTTGTGGGGATATGGCCGCAGCGGCCGCAAGATCTAGCGAAATCAGCAACCCCAGCGCCACACACAGTCGGCCATACTCCATCTAACGTGGCATACCCAATGCCGCCGTTGTCAGTGCAACAACTGGTTTTTACCAGCAATGCGTAGTAGATAGTTTCAACCGTATTCGGGGTCAGAATTGCATTCGTGTAGTTCCGAAGCAACAACACATCAGTGGAAAGCAAGTAGAGGGCATCGCCATCGAGCACGAGCGGCAATTGCAACTCGGTGGCGGCAGCGACGATCGACTTTGTGGCGCTCAACACGTCGGGGTCTCGGCCCAAGCCCGGGCCAAGAACCAACGCATCCAGGCGCGGCAACACCGCCGTGATGCGACCAAGGGTGGCGGTGCCCAGGTACGGATGGACAATGAGCTCGGGGCTGTAGCACTTTATAGGGATCGCGGCGTCGGGAGTGCAAAAGATATGACATAGATCTACACCCTATGTACCCACGTACGTACTAAGCGTGAATCGACGTTGAGAGGAGCTGGTATAAGCTGATACATACCGTTTTCAGAGCGGCCATGCCAGCGTAGTACGGAGCACCTGTGTACTCTGCACAGCCACCGACTATTCCTACTTTACCTATGTACAGTGCTTAGTAGTGTTCACAGTGTATGAGTAACCTACCATATTGCCCCTTGTAAAGATCAAACGACAGGGGCGGCACGATCGCCCGTGCGTCCATGTTGTAAACGTTGCAGCACACTGCTAAGATCGCCAGGAGAACCTTGCGTATTCGATAACCCTCTTACATTTAATTCATTCCGTTTTGTTTGTGGTCCCACTTCCAAGTTTTCATTAACAATACCAGGTAGTTTTAATATGTATATAATAGTAGTGAGTAGTCCCGTGCGTTTGGGCAAAACGAATGTATTGGTTAATTCTTCCATAACTTTTCCCCCATGTATCACTTTTTAGATCTGAAGGTATATACGAATATAGGAGAAATCAGTTCATCGGGTGAGGGGTTTTATAATCAATATAACGGGGTATTATCGTTGTTTCAAATTTCGCTCCTGCCATACATTCTGAGCAAATTAATATACTCAGAACAGCGATATTTAAATAAAAAATACTTCTGCACTCAGACCAAAATTTATAATAATACGAGCGGGAGTACTGAAAGTCAAGTACTACCGTAGTGGATTTTCCCCTTGCAAGTTTTTAAAATTTCGAGCTATTTTATTTTCAATACTTGAAGTACGTGCCAATCCGACCCAAGCAAATGCTTGGATTCCCCATGTCGCGAAGGCACATAAGTTTATCACCATTCATATTTAGCCTTCAAAACTGGGGATTCATCATCTTTAATTCAAGACGAAGCGATTAAGAAAAGAACGAGCTAAATCCGACCAGTATTTGAAATCGAAAGATTCGTTTTGCCCAAACGCACGGTAGTAATTGGGCAGCCTCGACGTTGTTCCTAATCGGGTCATGTCCACCTCTCCTTCCATAGAACGTGAACCTCTACAGTACCTGTATCCTCTGCAGAATCGAATGTCTGAAGAGAATGTCTGAAGAGAATGGATTAAAGACCAATCAAATCAGATTCTGTTAAATTTCTGCCAATCCAAACACGTTTAACCCGTCCATTTGAATGGTATTTGGCGAAATGATCGAAGGCATCGAGGGAATATTTATGCATTTCTCAAGGTCAACTTCTTGTATGCTCATAACAGTAAACGCCATATAAAAAACGTTCTTTGGATGTCAGGTGTAGAAATGAATATCTTGTGAGATATGTCACAAAACATAACGGAAATGAGGCAATAACACATTTACAAATAATAACCTATATCTTTTAATAGTACTAATTTTGACCTTTATACAGGAAAGCTTATATGAGTACTCTCAAATATAATATTTTGAAATAACCCTAATCCGGATACACTGGATACCTTCGACCACTGTAAATTTGGGTGAAATGCACAATGAAGCCCTAACGTTAAAACTCTTTCAATCCCAAGCCTGGCCATAAGTGAAAGGTACAAAAGCCTTTCCACTGTAGAATACACCATTTTTATCCAATCAAAGCGCTCTTTCAGTCAGTTCACGCCAATTAAAATTGTGGTCACGTTGATGCTTTTAAATACCTAAAACGATGTATACACATAAGGTACAAAATTCAAAATCCACCGCAGAGTGGGTTCCCGGCAATTTACGACCACCCCAAGACAGGTAGAACCACCTATATACACTACTACGACGCACACGCTTCTCTTAGATGCCAAAAGGATACGCTCTCACGCTTGAACAGCGTGGATCTATCGTGGCCTTTCGCAAGGCCAAACTCACCATTCACCGCATTGCCGACGAGCTTGGTGTGTCCAAAGGAGCTGCTTGCAGCTACCTAAGGTCGCCTGAGACCTATGGGACACCCATTCGTGCTGGACGACCTGCAAAATACGATGCCAGGGACAAAAGACGCGTCACATCACATCCAATTCACATTCAGTACTCGTCGTGTCCATGGACGGACGACATTGATAAATTTAAACTTTCTAAAACTGGTGCTGGCTAATCTCGCGCTTCTTCTTGTACGGGTACGCCAGCAGGTTGTTGTGCGACGACGAGTCTCGACTGGCTACCGTCAGAGACGTACGGGGGGCGGCAAAAGTCGGCACGATCGCCTTCTGACTATTGCTGCGCGGCATGGACGTCGCGCGCACGTAGCTCTCTGGGGACGTGGCATGACCAGTATTGTTCGGGGCGGGAGACGACTGGGTCGTCGCGAACGGGTCTTCGTGCAGCGACAGCGCGCCGCTCTGCAGCAGCAGGTCCAGCTGGACGTCGTGCTCCGTGGGGCGGGAGGGCGAGTCCACATCTCGCTCCTCGTCAATATCAAAACTCTTGCGGTCGTCGCGGGTGTTGGAAATTCGCGCCGATGCCAACGAGTTCCGGGCGTACATGCCGCGGTTGGCGTCGTTAAACATGTCCGAGTACGACACCCCTTGGCTTTGGTTTTGCTGGATGTGTTGCAGCGACTTGACCACGACCTTGGGCTGTGCGGCAGGCTGACGTTCGGGCACGACATACGCAAACGGTTGATGTGGCTGCTGCTGTTCGACGTACGCAGCCGGATGCGGGGGCTGTCGTTGGGGGGGGTCCGAGTCGAGTCGGGAGTATGTGGTTGACGGTGTGTTGGCGGTCAATGTGGGGGTGTTTCCCCCCATAACCGGTGGAATCGAGTCATTGTTGGTTGTGGCACTGGTAGCCGAAACCACTTGGTGGGGTCCCGAGGGCTTGATGTGGCGCGGGTCTTTCGTCGACGAGCGCGAGCCGTGGCCGTGCTCCATGTCATCGTCGTCGTCGCGTAGATCCTTGGCCGCGCGGTGGCGGCGAAGGCAAAAGATGATGACAGCGAGAAGCACCAGTCCCCCGATGCTGCCGAGGATCGCGGGCACGAGGACGGATTTGCCGCCGCCGGACTTGGAGCCGTTGGGGGTGAGCGGGTCCACGATTTCGCCACTGGACGCCGATGGCTTTTCAAACTGGACGCCCATGTCGGCGCAGTTGGCGTCCTTGTCCACTGACGGGTTCTTGAACGACAGCGAGCCCTGCACCACGGCGCCGGTGGCCGACGTGAGCTTGACGGGGATGTTGGCGTAATACGAAGGATCGTCCGAGATGCGGCCTGACTCGAAGATGAATCCGTTCTGGCTTTGCTTGGCAGGGACCGCGTTGTACGTGGCAGTGTCAATGGGCTGCAACGTGTTGAAGAACTGAATCGGCAGGTAATCGGCACTGGCACCGTCCATCATGCACGCCTTGATGTTGCCAACGACAAACGTATCAGGACACACCGTAAACTTCCACGAGATTCCGATGGGTGAGTTGATGGGGCTCGGGGTCAGCACCTTGGCGGCATCTGGCGACAGTTGGAGCGGATCGGACGCTTGGCTGCCTTCCTTTGCGTCGACAACATAGGCCACGACGGAGCTACCGGTTTTGCACGCTATGTCTTGGCACGAGATCTGCACGCAGCGACCACATGTCGAGAACCGCTTGCCAGGCACAGACACGTACATGGTGCTCTTGGCGCCTTCCACGTTCAGAAGTCGGCACGTCCCATCGCTGGCCTTAGCATAGTTTAAAGTAAGTTTAGCCGATGTATCAGCTGCGTGGCATGATGCCGTCGCCAGGAGCGCGAGTCCCGCCAGTCGCATGAACATCGTTCAAGCGTTCAGACCGGAATGGCAAATGGGAGCAGCCGGCGGCAGGGCATGCGGGTGCAGAATAAAAATATTCTCTTTCAACGTATGCTTTGTATGGACAATAAAAGATCAGATTATTTATTGAGTCCTTTGACAATTAATATAGCAGGTAGTGAGAAACACAATATGGGAAAAACGGTAACTTTAGCAGCAAAAACGCGGCACAATTTCGTTCAAAATCGAGGTTAAACAGCGTTTTACTATAATAACATCTTGCTAACGTTAAACGAATCATCAATGATAGGACTATACGTATACAGTAGTTTCCACCACCTACGTTATATTTAAAGTACCTCGTGGTTCGAATACCATCATACTACTACTAGTACACGGGGGATGGATTGGGAGTCGCACCTTTTGAGTCAGTCATTCTCAATTGTGCCCTCCTTACTGTTAAGCTCGTGGTCAAATCCTGCTTTACAACTGTTAACGTTCCCAAAAAGCAGCACGTTGATAGATAAATTTACAGAGGTATTACACTTGGTCCAATCTTGTGTACGTAACAGGTGGTGGAAATCTGCCACCATACAAATTACAAGTTTGGTGCCAGGAGGGGTGAAACAACGGACTGGCTTCGTCTCCCTATTCCAGGTCGCGAGGGCAGTCGCAATGGAACGATGGTGATTTACAGGCGGATACATAACTATTCGTTCGTCGAATGTACAGTTGTTGATCTGCATGTATATACAGTGTGATTTGCATAGCACCTCTAGCACACCATGTCGTCATGTCGTTCGACGGGTTGCTGCATCAGTGCCGAGGGGTCTGGCGGGGCGAGGTACGTGAGGCGGTTGTGCATCGACGCGCGGGTGACGACGCCTTCCAGCACGCCAAACTTGGTCACAAACAACTTGGCACACTTGAGCATTTCAAAGAGGAGGTGTACAGTTTCCAACGGGGTGTCCTCGTCCACTTTCAGCACGTTGCCACTCATCTCGACCACATCGGACAACACGACAACGTGATCGTCGTCAACTGCGTCCACCACCATCGTGCTGGTGCTACCTGCTTCTGTTTGGCGCATGTACATACCACCAGTAGTTGCCGTCGGAAGGTTGGAGGCACCATCATGGTCATCCTCGGCGAGTAGCGCGTGGAGGTCTTCGCGGGCCACGCATCCACAGAACAGACGGCTGCCCCGATCGACCACCACGGGCACACTGCTTCGGCTGAACCGTTTCAGGAGCGCTCGGATCTCGCCTTTGGTCGTGCGGTTGGGAAGACATGTGAGCTGGTCTTCCATGACATCTCTCGCACACACGTTGGCCACGCGTAGCTCGTGGCACAACAGCATGGGCAAGTACGGCAATCCCTTCGAGATAATCACACTACAAATGCAGCATTCGCATGCCAAAGTTGTTACATTGTAAAGGGGATGGCGACGACGACAAACCTGTCGTATATCGAGACGCTGAGGGCCTTCCCCATGCCTCCAGCCAACAACACGGCCAAAAACAGGGGTGTAAAGTAGATGAATTGCCCCGTCAGCTCGAGCGCAATCACTATCATCGTCACAACATCAGCAGGTAGTAGTAGTAGTACACACTATCGTAGTACCTGCGACGGAAATTGTGTGCGTCGACGACGCGACCAGCGCCGCGCCGCCCACGAGCGCGTACCCGCCAGGCACAATGTCCACGGTGGGAAAGATGAATATAATAAGTTCTCCGATCAATCGACCACATGCGGCGCCAGCTGTAAACAGCGGGATGAAGTCACCCGATGGGATGGGCAGCGACACGGATAAGAGCGTGATGAAGATCTTGGACACGGCGCTCACCTACGACTCAAAACAATGATTTGGCTTAAACGTGGCTACACTACAGTAGCATGTAGCTACATACCGCAAGGGGGCCCAGCACACTGCCCTGCCATTGCCAATTGGGTCCGAGGGGAGTGGGGCTGCACAGATCTTTCAGCGTGTCCGACACCCCTAAGTGGTTGAATGGGCCGGGCGTAAACACCACGACCGTCACGACCACGGAAATGAAACCGCCCCACAAGAGGGGAAACCGGCGGTTGAGCGGGGCGAAGAAGCGGCGTAACCGCGTGGCCATCGACACGTACGTCGCCCCAAGTACCCCCATCAGCACCCCCAGGAAGGCAAACGCAAAGAGTTCCAACTGGCCAAACGACTTGTCGCTGTACGAGGTGGGGAAAAGTGCTTGGAAGGAATGGAGGCGCTGTTGGGATTGGGTGGTGATGTAATCAAGCACTTGCTTCATGACCGAGCCACTCACGGCTGCGACAAAGCTCTTCCAGTAGTTCTACCAGCAACACACACTTATCAACCACATCACACACATGCCAATGACCCAATGACTAGTAGTACCGAAAGGAGCAGGAACGAGCTTGTGACTTCGATCGAAAAGAGGACGCCCCCAATCGGCGCGCCAAACGTCGACGCCACGCCCACGGCGCACGCTGCGTTGTACATGTGTCGGTGCAGCGACTCGTTCCGATAGATGCGATGGAAGAACGCGCAGTGTTTCATCAACTGGTGGCAGATGATACATGCCGTGTGCACAAACGGCCCTTCCTTACCCACCGAGAGGCCACTAGCTTGGGCGGTGGCCAGGCCGATCGACTTGGCAAATAACGTGCGACTGCGAAGGTATCGGCCGGGGGCATGACGTTGGTCGGCAGACAGAATGGTTTTGATCTCGGGAATGCCCGACCCAGCTACAGCCACATCAGCCTCGTTGACATGAAACTCAAGGGTACCTGCAAAAGGATCGACGTAGTGGGTCCACGAAATTGAAATCAAAGCAAACACCAAGCCCCACGCTATCGCCCCGCCCAACGAGTAGTTCCATACCTCATCAGGACTTGTCGGTTGCTGAGACTCCAGGTACGTGAACAGCTTGGCCTGGGTCCACCGCAGCCCCATGATGGATTCGTTGATGCCGTAGTCGAGCACCGACACTACATGATTGAAGTTGTTAGCCGCGAGCACAAAGGCGAGGTTGAACACATGTATAACGTTACCAGTGGCCCCCAGCAGTACGAGGAAGAGGACAATTTTGCCCTCTTTCTTGATCAAGTCCCACAGCCCGCGAGCCGAGTACTTGCTCGTGTGGCGACCAAATATGTTCTCCCAGTTGTGCATGTATCGCTTCTTGTGGGCAGCCGTCGTGCCTTGCCGACGAAGCAGCGACGGCGACGTTGGGATGTGGAGCGACGGCAGTCTCTCCGAGTACGACACGAAGCTCTCGTCGATCGAGCACGGGGACGTAGGATACTGCATCTGTCGTGTGTATCTGTGCGCTTTGAGAGTGGCCAACTGATGAAGAATTGACAAGTGGGCAAAATCCGATTTGATCTCGTGACAGTTTCACCGTTTCACAGTGTTCTTGGCGTGGCTTCTAGCTTGCAAAAGATCATTTCTCCGACAGTGCTGTCGCCGGCCGCAAGACAATCATGTGACCAGACAACGGCTCAGGTTGGTATGCACGCCAGGAACTATGCATAGTACATATGGAAGTCAAGCTAGAAGCGCAACTCGATGGCATGTGGATATTAGGATCATCATCGTTCGTACTAGTAGGTACGGCAATATCCTCGTGTGTTGGGTCGTACAGAATGCTGGGCCGTTTCACATGTCGCCAACGGCATATTGCATCCTGGTGTAGCATTATGACCATCACAATTCTTTCGTCACCGATTTAGTGTCGTTTACGGGTGTGATTCTTTACGCCTGTGAATCTACCAAGTTGGTAGTAGTCGACATGTTAATTGGTAATTGTACCACGCTAACATGTCACCTTTGCAGCCTACAGTAACAATCATGTTTGTATGCGACGGCTGGACAGCGCCAGTTTGGTTGCCGATAAGCCTTGACGCAAAAAAAATGCATGCCAACAGGGGCCCCCGCCAACGAAGGGGGGGGTTCATGTTCTGCTATTAATACTAAGCTAATAATGATTGCTACAGTTGGAGCCACATTGGACTTCTAGCACATCAAGCTACGTCCATCGCGACAACGTGGTGTAGCTGTCGAACAAACGACGTGGACTGGCTCAGCTGCCCCGTCGGCGATTGGTCCTGGAGCCAACGCACGACAGCCGCCACATACTCGGTCCGCAGCGCTTTGGTGGGCACGCCCTGCGCCAGCTCGACCAGCGCCGTCGCCGCCGCGATCTGTCGCCGGTGGTGGCCTTCTACACCGCCGCCCATATGAGCCATCCGCATTTCTTGCTATATGGGTACGACGACAACCATACCTTCAGTAGCAACGACCTCGGTGGAAGCAGCATTCAACACACGCATGAGTGTTTCCCCCAGTAGTTTCGATTGATTGATGAGATGGGGGACACCCCCCACGCCAAACATTACGTACACCGCCGCCGCCGCGACCCCTACAAAGCGTTGGAGGGTGTCAAATCCGGGGGTTCAATGGGGGGACCTACCCATGACTCGAAGAGCCGTGGGGGTCAGCTGGTCGTCCGGTTTATCGGGTACGATGTGGTGGTCGACACACCACTGCCACCCCTGCACCCGCAACAGCAGCCGGACCGACTCACACGTTTCAAATGTCGTCACTTCAAACCGCGCTTGAAACTTGTCCAAGTACCAGTCGTCCGACAGGGGCGGGTCCAATCGGCAGACGCGATACAGCTCGCTAAAGTACTCTGCATTATTGTCTTTGGCCTTGGCCTCTTCTTCGCGGCACATGTTGCCCATCTACATGTGTCTATAAGAGACAACCGCGAATCTAGTCTAGCCAATGTGTAAAGTACGAGAAATCGAATGGTCGTGGGCAACAGCGATGACGTGGCAGCGGCGGTGACATCGTCATCGCCGTCTCCAAGCTGAGCAAATATCTGGGGCCACGATTGAACCATCGTGACAAAGTCCCAAATCGACCGGTTCACTTCGAGCAACCGGTCCACAAGGAACGACCGACTCGCGGCGATCCACGTGGCACGACGACAGAGCAGCACGTGCACCCGGCACCACGACGCTTGCACTTGGGTGTTGTGTCGATTGAACGTTTTCCTGACGTGGGAGCCAATCGCATGGAGAACCAACAAGAGGTCAGCTCGCCGCGGATGCGTGACCTGCCACAGCAAGTCGACGCACACGGTCGACTCGATCACCGACTTGGAGCCGATCTTGAGCACCGCCGCGGCGATTGCTGGCACGGGCACGTGGTGGTGTGCGACGAGGTTCTTGACGGTTTTGGTGAGACACAGGGCCTATAGGAGGAGACACGAATCAAAAATCAAGGCATTGGATATGAAAATGTGTCATGAAAGATGATGGGATGGTGGTACCCTCGTGGTGGGGTCATCCGAAGTTCGAAGCGCAGTCAAATACGCTTGAATCACAAGTTCGGCTCGCATGTGCTTGGCCATGGGCTTCTGCAGCGCGCTGCTCAGCGCGACAAGTTCTGTCGGTGGTGGAGTGGCTGATGGGGCTCCTGCTACGGACGTCGTCTTGGCGGCTTTCAACGGTGGAGACATGGTATCTTCCTTGCTATCCCCAGGACACAATGCACGTTTACGTGGAAATGAAGCAGTGGTGGTGGTGGTGATGGTTGTAGCGTGGGGCCGTGCGGTGTCCTTTGGCATGCTTGCAGTGGTTTGAGTGGGGGGGCTCCTAGGTGGAGCTGCCGCCGACGATTGGGAGGAGGAAGCAGCGGACTTGCTCGGCGATGCTGCTGGTTTGGCACATGGTGTAGACGGACTTGTGTGGTTGGGCGTATCGAAAGACTGTTGTGTGATGGCTGCTACCACTGGCTTGATGTCAGTGTTCGGAGTTGCGTGGGTTGGGCTTGGGAATAATGACGTGGCAGGATGAGAAAACGGCGGCGACGAGATTTGCTTGTTTTGACCAAACAAAGAGGTTGTTTCCGGGTGCGCTGCTGGTTGCGTTTCGACGTCTGATTCGTCTGAAGTCGTCGACGATGAACTGCCACTACTCGACGAGTCGTCGTCCGATGACGCGGCGGCGGTGGCGGTGGCACCGTTGTTTGTATCAGGCTCGTCATTGTCCGAGGAGGCCAAAGATAGCCAAGGATCGCTCCGTATAGCTGCAGACTAGGCATTGCATTCCATAACTTTCAACGCGTAATCGCGTTGGTGGTGTCATCATACCTCTAAATGTGTCATTGGGGGTGCGGCGGGTGTAGCTGCGGGTGTCGACTCGGACGCTTCCATCGCCGCAACCTACAACTCAAAGCACAACGCGTGAAACGACGACCGTGGCATACCATTACCTTGTCGGTGAGGGCTCGGATGGTCTTGGCCTGGTGTTCAATCGTTTGGTGTTGCGACGTGACAGACTCCTTGAGTGATTCTATCGTGGCCTTGCATTCCTCCAACTGCACGCGGTAGCTTCCGAGCTTCTCTGCCGCTTGCTTCATGCGAAGCTTCGTGAGGGTCTTGTACTCTCGAAGCTTCTCCACCTCGGCCTCGAGCTCCGCCTTGGTCGAGCCGCGGGCCATGTTCAAATTGCCTCTTTAAACACATTCCTTTTCAGAATGCATATATATAGGTTGTGTATACCGTCTGGCAACATCATCAGCATTATGCCATTTTGGGCCGGATTTTGTCATTTTAGACCCAAAAAATCCATTTTTGGGCAAAATGACATTTGGAGAAATTCACTTGGAGCGTCTGGGAAAAATTGGGAGAAACTTTTTTGGAGAAATTCACTTGGCGCGTCTGGGAAAAGTTGGGAGAAACATTTTGTTTCAATGTCAGCAAGTGCCATGTACTACGTAGTACACAGTAGTGCAACTATTGCATGCCGTATCCGTCAGTTATGCCATCCATCCCTATGCTCTCGCGAGTCCCGCTCAGCCTCCAACATATATGTATCACATTCCATACCTCGATCGGTCACACCAACACACACGTATTGTTGTGCTTCTTCTAAACTGGAGCCTGAATCGACACAACCACCAAATAAATACATGTAAGTTACACAAGAATCATTGGCAGAAGGTTTAGCCAATCACATTGCCGGAAACCTCATCCACGTCGAATTAGTGTTCGACTTCAATTAGTGTGATACCAATCACCACAGGACCCCTTTTTACATACTAGCAGTACAAAATTCAGTACAACGAATCGATCGATAGATTTGGCGATTCTGCACAAAAGTCAACCAAATTTTGGGTAAATGGACAATAGCATTCCTTGCTTGCGCGACCAATTTCCGCTAAACCAATGTCGACGAACCAATGCTGCAGTTGTCGAAACTAAATTTCTGTGATTCTGCAATGAGAAGTTTCGAATCTGCAAAATCGGACGACTTCAACTCGGCCCTAATTCGGATTTGGCCATTTTGACATTTTCAAAACAAACTCGATTTTGCAAAATGCCAGTTTGTTTCCATAATTTGACACTTGATTTGCTATGATATCGTTCCTGTTATTAGTACACTACTATTAATAGTTGTAGTACTAGTAGTACTAATAACAGTTCTAACGATAGTATAGATCAAGTCTGAAGGTCAACGTTCGAGTAATATAACAAATACTCATGTTACACTATTCCAATATGGCTGGCCTAGCAGAGTACGAGTGAGCAGCCCCATCCACGGTGGAGCAAGGATATACTTCGTATCGATGAAGCGGATGCTCATTAGGTCGACGAGCTCTGCAAAGACCGCACGTGCCGCAGGACATCGTCGCGCGGGGCCGATGGGAACTCGAGCTGGTACAAGATGACGGCATCGTTCATGGCTTTCACCGCCGGACCCGGCTTGACCCCCAGGGCGTCCATCAGGTCCTTGCCCTACACACAAGTGTCACCACATGACACTCCACCACCACCCCACCTACCTACCTACTGATATTTCAACGTACATTCAACAGAGGCTTCATCTCCCATACTCGGTCCAACCCTACATTGACCACGTACGCCGACAGCGCCGCGTACTTTTCCCTTGTCTGCTCGACGTCTGAATGCTGCAGAACCACCTCCACTAGGTACGCCATGTCGACAGCCAACGGCCACAGCGCGCCCACATCACGCAGCACAAGACCCACCTGCACGCGATCAAACGGCGCGTTGGCAGCCACGAACCGACGACACTGGTTCAACAAGACTAGGCTCACGACGTCGGCGTCTTTCGCGGCAAACTACACACGGACATGCTGCTCAAAATAGCCCTTAACGTCACATCCTTTACAGCCTGTTGTACACAAAGTACCTTGATGGATTCGCGTACAATAGCGTGGGCCACGGGCACATGTTTCTTCTTGAGGACGATCGAGTACTCGGCCAGCGGCAGCAGCACCGCCGCCAACCACCGCAGCTTCAAACGATGGCTCGTGGCTTCGTTGTTGGTCACTTCAATGCCATCCGCGGTCGTGCTGCTAGTACTACTACTAGTAGTAGTGGGGGATGATGGCGCACGTTGGTCTTGTCGAGCCAGGTCCAGGCTACACAACAAGAACAACCGACGACATTGTTAGGTCAATTAGTCAGCCACGAGGTGCCCTTATCGAGCGCTGGGAGCGTGCCACGTCATATTGGTGTGTTTATATTCTAAGCCGGAGCAATATGGAGAGATTGAATCAACACAACCAATTTAATGTACACAAGAAGAATCATCGGCAGAAGAAGGATTGAGCCAATCCGATTGCAGGAAACGATCATTTAATTAGTGTGTGACTTCAATTAGTGTGATATCAATATCACCCCAGGACAACTTTTTACATACAAAATATATCAGTACAAAGAATCGATAGATTTGGCGATTCAGCACAAAAGTCAACCAAAGTTTGGGTAAAATACATACAATATATGTCGTTGTTACGTACGCGTGGAGAGCTTGGACACATGCCATGGACGTGTCCGTCCAGTGGGGAGGAATCGCCGCCTCTAGCGGCGGGTGGAGGGTAAAGAACGGCCCCGTGGGCAGCTGGAACACGACCTCATCCAGATGGAATCGATGCAAAGACGTGAGCGCGACCATCGGATTCGCATGCGACCCCGTGAGCATGCCTCCGAGTTCCTTGCCCACGCGTTCCCGCGATACCTTTTTGACCAGCGCTTCCTACAGACCATCAATGACGAGATGATGAACAAGAAGTCGAAATGTATACGCGAATGGCGCGGTGTTCCAGCGCGGCGATGAGGTCGTCGGCCAAGGGAAACCGAAAGCGACTTGCAAAGCGGATGGCGCGAAGTACGCGCAACGGATCGTCGAGGAACGTGATGGTCGGATCCAACGGCGTGCGGATGACGCCATGTTGCAAGTCGGGCAGGCCCTACACATGGACATAGGATGGGGAGGATCGTGTCGAGAAATGTACGTACTTGGCCGGTGAAGTCTTCGACCGATTTGGTCGCGAGGTTGTAAAACAAGCTGTTGATTGTAAAATCCCGACGCTGTGCATCCTCCAATGGTGTTCCGAACTCCTGATGGCGCAGTGAGATGAAAACCGAAGGGCGACGGCGCAGTACATACCATGCTCGGGATGCGGTGGGCTTCGTCGTCTGCATAGGTTTCCGCGCGCAAGTTGACAAAGTCGACCCAACCACTGCCTAGCTGCATCGTCGCAGTCTCCAAATGCTTGGACTGGTCGGGGTTGGCCTTGAGGGAATCGTGAGACCGATTGGAAAATGCCGATGATACCTTGATGACGCCCACGGCATGGGTCTTGTGACCATGCTGCGTCTCATACGCGTTGACGAGCTCGGCAAACGCCACCCCAGTCATATTGTCCAACACGATGTCGATGTCGTCACTGGCGCGACCGAGGAGCTACGACAATGTCGGTACCATGGATGCGACGAGGACGACGCGCGTACCTTGTCGCGCACCCACCCGCCAGCCACCCGCAAGGTCAGCCCGCAGTTGTTCTGCTTCTCCACATCCAAGAGGAAGTCAAATAGCTTCTCTTCGTCCGCCGTGAGGGCAATCATCACAGGTAGTAGATCCATGTTGCTCAACTTGCGCTTCATGCTCCAATTGTATGCAGCGACCTGTTGGGATTAATATAATCGAATCGCCATACAAACCACCATATATTATATTTCTCGTTGAACCTCACGGAATGTTTGTTTTGACTGCATGAGTGCTGGTACTTGGGATTCTGATTAGCTTGCAAAGCGGTTGAATTAGAATTGTGGTTGTGGACGACCACCATCCACTGCATCGTCATGACGTGGCAAGCTAAACAAATGAAGAGGAACACCCCTGTGGATGTCACTATACCGAGTGTTAGAGGATGAACGGCGTCCAATACCTTCACCAATTGAACTCGAAAGTTGTAGATATATTGTGATTCTCTTGCTGTGAATTAGCGCCAAATTTGGTTACTTTACAGTCCATACATACTACCCGTAGTAATGGCAATGATAACTACTGGTGAACATTGTTAGGCGAGAGCGATAGTTATCGCGTGTAAGCTGTATGGACGCTGCTGCTACCACTGGGATACGATACCGGAACCTATGAGCTCTGCCAAAACGAAACATGGCTACTGTAACCACGGGATAGCCAAGTGCATGCACGACAAGAATGTCCACCGCGCTTTCCATTAAACGCAAGTTGAGGTCTCCATGTCGATCTCCACATGTGCCTGTCAAATCGTAACGTCAAAGTAGGCGTACTAGCGTGAACACCCGTCGATCTCAAGCTCGTGAAGCTGATTGTCCTACCGGAAACCTCTCCGCCCCTTTCCACAAGATTTCGATTCAAGGACAGAATGTTGGTCGCACACCGTTTCGTGGTGTCACTAGCACATCAAGGTTGGCATCAGTTATAGAGCCAACACGGCCATACCTCAATTTCAAGCATGCAGCGACCATCTCGGCTCCGCGTCGGGGACGTCGTGGCTTTTGTGGCTCCTGCCTCTGGCATTGCCGTGCCTGCCGCCCATCGTCTGGAGCAAGGAAAGCGATACTTTGAGTCTCAAGGCTACGGGGTCAAGATCTTTCCGTCGTGCTACCAGAACGGTCCGTATAGTTCGTGCAGCCCGGAGGATCGTGCGACGGACATCATGCAAGCGTTCCAAGACCCACAAGTGAAGGCCATTGTGTGCACGATCGGGGGCCTCACGTCCCACGAACTGCTGGAACACCTCGACTTCTCCATCTTGGCAACACACCCGACCATCTTTTGCGGGTTTTCCGACATCACGACGTTGCATCTGGCGTTGCAAGCGCAAGCCAACCTCGTCACGTTCTACGGCCCAAGTGTGCTGTGTCAATTCGGCGAGTTCCCGGCGCCATTGACCTACACAACCGACGCGTTCTTCCGTACGGTGGCGTCATCTAACGTCGTCGGTGACGTGTTGCCGTCGTCCACCTGGTCGGACGACAAGTCCATCAACTGGTTCACCAAGGCAGACATGACTTCAATTCGCCCCATGAAACCCAACGACGCTGGCTACGAGTGGCTTCGGCCAGGCGCCGCCACCGGTTGCCTTCTTGGCGGGTGCCTCCCGGTGCTGCTCAACCTATTCGGCACCAAGTACATGCCGTCGCTGGTGGACTGCATCTTGCTGGTGGAAACCCCCGAGTCTGAAGCTGCATTTGACAAGGGATTTTCCATGGACATGGCCAACCAGTGCCTCGGCGTCCTCCGCATGAACGGCACGCTGCAGCTTCTCCGCGGCCTCGTCGTCGGTCGTGGGTTCGCCTACTCCGTCGACCAAGTGAACGAGCTGAAGGCGCTGGTGCTGCACCACACGCGGGGCACGACGTACCCGGTCGTATACGGGGTCGACTGCGGGCACACGGACCCCGTGGCCACGTGGCCACTGGGGGGAACTGTCACGTTGGACTCCCACGCAAACCGGGTGTCGATTGACGACGCGGGCGTGGTCGAATAGTTAAGTGGAACATTATTGCAATTCGTCATCGTTGAAAGGCCAAGCAATGAACTTGAAACGCTAAGGTTCACGTTAGGAATAATTGTAGCGACCGACAGTACTGTATACCGCTACAGCTTACCGTGTAGCTTATATAGGTTTAGATAGTCATATAGATTTGGACTCCTCTGTAAAATGATATAGTCCTCTGTAAAATTATACAATTGGATTATTACACTTGATTATTGTATGCATATGGTAATTTACACTATCCGTATCCGGATAATTGCCCCGCCTCTGTCCAAATCTATATACGTTACACGGTACCGTTATGGTCTTGGATAATCACGTCCACAGTGTTCAATTACTGTAACAGTGTAATAAGATCTTATCCAGGTTAGGAGATAAGCTTACATACAGGTAGTAGTACTCTGGAGTAGTACCCGTAGGGACTTCAAGTATTATACTACTAGTACATAGACTAGTATGTACTCGGAGTATTAATAGGGACAATTACTGTACACAGACAACGATGGATTTTAAGCCACACCGAAGTTTATATGTGTATCCATGTATTGTAGCCAATCAGGTTCAGCTATTACAAATCAGTTGGTTTGATTTGCTATTGAAATCGAATTTCGAAGTGTATAGGCCAATCAGAGTTGAAAATTTAGAATTTACTTCGATTCAAAGTGTGGCTTAAAATCCGTCGTTGTCTGTACTGTATTAATAGTAGGTTCAGTAGGTTCACACTACTGTAACTGTTATTTCTAGACTTGACAGTTATTAATACCAAGTTACCAGTAACACTTACTAACGTTATGCTCAGAACCATGTACCCTGCGACAGAGTTTGTTTGGTGTATGCGTCAGATATCATCACGATTATATGGCCGTGTTGAGGTGTTTGTGTTTCTCGGTCCATGAGAGATGTGCACGTTCCTCTAAACAGCCAGGGGTGATGTGTATGACGGACCAAGCTTATGTGAACTATTTAGATGGGCTGTTGCTTATGGTATTGTGGTTACTGCTGGACTGTCATTTCTTCCAACAGCGCCAGGTTGCGCGCGATGCCGCTGACGCCGCTGATGAGGCAGTTGAGCAGCAACAGCTCCTCCATCGTCACTCGTTCGAACCGGTTCTTCTCCATCAGCCACTGGGCGTACGTTGTGCGCATGGTCTGCGAGATTTCGAGCAGCGAGAACGAGTCCACGTTGAGCATGTCATGGGACCGGGTCAGGGGCGACGCCCCTCCAGACGACACCCGGTGAGTTCGCGGGCTCGGCGCCGACCGAACGTCTCCGCTGCCCACTTGCAGCACCACGTGGTGGTGGTCGTCGTCGTTGTCGACTGGAGCCCCTTCGACCTCTTCAACGCCTCCAGCCTCCCCTCCTTCGGCGATACTTGCGAGCCCGACCACCTTTTTTGATCGATGCTGAAACACCTCGACTTCGAGCTTCAGCCCACGCTCCAATGCGTCCATAAACTCGTCAAAGCTGACCTTGCCGCTCTTGTCGGCGTCCACAATCTCCATAAAGTCGTGCACGTAGCTGTCGATGGCATCGACTTTAACGGCGCCGGACAGGGCAAACACCATCTCGAGCATATGGCGGACCTCGTCGGCGTCGATTTCGCCGCTGCAGTCCGTGTCTGCCACCCGGAACGCTTCCTTCATCTGCATAAACAGCGCGGTTTGGTCGCCGTCGGCGTACATAAAGTTGTCGCCAAACAGATCGTACAACGTGTCAAATGTGTCGTGGATCGCGCGGCCGAGCTCGACCGTCGAGAATGCCCACGCTTCCTTAGCTGTGACACTGTGGGCTGCTTCGTGTGATTTTCGAGTGATTTTCTCCACGTCGAGCTTCTTGTGCAAGGTCAAGTGTCGCTGCTCAATGCGAAACTTGAACCATGTCACAAGTTTAAATAGCACGAGCGTGTTGTTGAGTAGGCGCTGGCAACAGTCCAGCACGGCTTGGTACTTGGCCTGCGAGAACGGCGGCTTCCACAGCAGCGGTTCAAACCCGGCTTCGTACAGCAGCCCCGCCTGGTCAGCTAGGAGCGCCGGCATCGTCTTCTGCACAATATCCTGAACTTGGTCGAGCGTAGATTGGTCCATCACGCCCGAATTGTGCACGTTCTGCTCAAACAAGATCAGGAATGCCTGCTGGGCGAGCTTCATGTGCTGCTGGACGTTGGCGCGCAAGAGTCCGATGGCGGACTGTGGGCAAAACACCAATTCCACCACAATAAACAGCACAATACCGAGACTCATTTGCGCCAGGTTCGAGTACGACGACGTGGGCGTGACCAGCGTACCCGCCGCACACCCGTCGCACCCCTTGAGCATGATGTTGGTCGCCGTGAACGCCGACACGAGGCCCGCGTAAGACTCGAACCCATCCTTCCACTTGATGTACATGGAGAACGTGACCCACACAAACAGAATCGCGTTCGAAAAGAAAGACACGGCAATGTTGCTCCAGCACGAGTACGAGCAAATGTAAAACAGCACGACCGACGGGATGATGCTGCCGGCGACGACGCCGCCCACGCGGTTGGCTGTCACGCTAAACGACCCGCCTAGAACATATGTTGAGTTGGACTGGATTGTTGATATATATATATATAATATATTTAAAACTACTACAACTATCACGATATTAATCGTATAAAAGTGTACTGCAATTGTTGTGGTACTGTTGTGAAATCAAATGGTCATCTTGCATTAACTTTAGATGGTGCGAACATTATTTGTACTGAAGAATGAGATGGATACAGGACGACCGTATATATATATATATATATATATATATATTGTCACGACATATAACATGGAACGGACACGATATAAAAAGTCAATATATACAATTGTATGCATATACAATATGCGGAAATCAAACGGTCATATTGCATTGCATAGTGCCATTGGCGTTGAAATGAGAGGGATACAGGACGACCGTATATATATATATATATATATATATATATATTGTCACGACATATAACATGGAACTGAAACGATATATAAATGCAATACTGTTTTATGCAGATATAATGTTGAAATAAAATGATCGCATGTCATTACATGGTACAAAGGAAAGATCGATAGACGTGGCGAATCAGCACACAACTGTTTAAATTTGGGGTCAAAGGACAATATATATATAATTTGTTTGATTTAGACTTTTTTATATATATATACCGTACCAATATGATTGCCCATGACATACGCGACGGTCCCGGCGGTCGTGGACGAGTACCCGAACGTGTAGACGGAGAAGAAGCATGCGCAGAGGATCGCAAACCAAACTTTCGACGCAGTTTCAAACTTGTGGCGCGTGTACTGGGACGTATCCACATAGCTCGCCAACTGCTTCCTCACAAACCGAGCAATGCGCAAGTTCTACAGCAACGTACTGGTCAGTTGATGGCTGCTTCAAGGTCCAAGAAAAATCGTCGCTACTTTGGAGACTGTATTAAGACTAGCACATGAGATATAAGAAAGCGAAAAAAACTATTAATGGGTACAAAACATGTCCTGTCAATCAAGTACGATTAAACAAATAAAAATAGCATAGTATATTCACAATGGTTCGTCGAAATAAAAAAAGGTTTAGAAATATATTTCATTTTTTATATTTACAGGTAACAGTTCGTATAGTACGGGGGGATTGCACAAAGAAGTTGTGCAAGACGATTTGACAACTCTACACCATTGCGATTCATACATACTATCATCAAGTGGCAAAGGTCGGGCATACATATATGTACGGAAACCACGCTAACGTTACACATTCGACTAATATACATATAAATATTATATATATCTATTATATAGATCCATGGTTGATCTATATATATATATATATTCGTAATACCGTTTTGTGGGTGCGGGTATTAAACGACGATTGAAACTCGAGCAAGGACGAGCAGTACGATTGCAATGAAAACAGAAACAAATTGAGGGGGATGTTGGCTTCGACGTCTTTGGGGGACGGGGACTCTCGTTTATAGATGCGTGTTTGGGTGGCTTGAAAGTGCTGGAGCAACGTCTCGATCTGTTTTTCCAGTTCTTGGAGCGACCGCAGGTCCAAATCTACATATATTGTAGATGGTTTGTTTATATATATTCTAAACTGGAGAAAGCGACATGGAGAACGAATAAATCGACACACAACACCAAATCAATATGTACACAAGAATCAAGGATTTACCCAATATATTGTAGGAAACAACAACCATCCTCCACGTCAAATTAGAAACTCGGACTTCAATTCGTATGTGATACCACTAATACTCCCCACATTTTCAGTCCAATGACAATCGGTACATCGATAGAGTTGCCGATTCATAGCACAAAAGTAGCCCAAATGTGGGGTAAAAGACAATAAATACTGGCCACACACACCACAGTAAGTACTACTAGGTCAGCCATGACACAAATGTTGTTATTGCCAAGTCGATATATTCGAGTGTTTGGGAGCTCTCAATCTCGAGTATGAGCAGAATAAAACCAAATCGGCAGACGACAATCGATATACGACCAATCAAAACCCACAACACGAATCAAGTGGCCAATCAAATGATTATCCACTCTTTACAACCAATTCAAAGAGTGTGTGAATGAAATTAGTGTGACGACACTGGACGATCATCTTTACATACAAACGTCAGTACAACAAAAATCGATCGATCGACAGATTTGGCAAAGAATCAGCCCAAAAGTCCACCAAGTTTTGGGTGAAATGCACAATATATATATATATATTCTTGATACTCGTGTACATATATACGTACGGGTGTGGCCATCGTGGACATGTGTCGAAATTTCACTGAGCAACGCCGTCGCCTTGACTTGAATCATGTACACTTGCTTTTGCAGCGACTTCATAAACAGCGTATGCAGCCGCTCGTACCGCTCCAGTTGAATTGCTTGGGTCATCGCCCGTAGGTTGTCGACAAGTGACCCAAATAGGTCAATGTAGGGCTTGGTGACGGACATTTTGAAGCGCAGGGGGACGTGGAGCCCCACGAGCTGTTCCCACCACACGTCATGGAGCAGCGACTTCATGTGGGCGTGCTTGGCGGTGGCGAGGTCGAACTTGCGTTTGAGTTTGAGCCGCAAAAAGTTCATGTGGTCGACGTCCTTGTTCTTGAAACAGTACGAGTCGACGATCAAGTTGAGCAAATCTTGGATAGTGTCGGCGCATGTCAACGTCTGGTCTTGCAATTTGCGAATTCCAAAGATCGGGTACGGGAACCACATCATAAACTGGGCAATGATGGCGCCAAGGATGCCCAGAAACGAATACACGAGCAAGTTGCTGAGCAAGTTGGGCGTTTTGTACAGCGCGTCGCCAAATGCCTTGGGCAACGACGGGTTGGTAAAGTCGTTGGGGCTTACCAACGTCAGCGCAAAGAACAAGTTGTTGCCAATCGCGTACTTTTTCGTGTTGGTTTCCTAGTACCGGTCAGTACTTGGTTGTCTCGACGCGAAACATAGAATGATCGATACGAATGATTAGAATATCATCAACAGCAAGAAAACGAATAGTATTGGCAGAAGGATGAATAATATATTGGAAGACGGATTCATAATATATTAATGATCGATACGAATGATTAGAATATCATCAACAGCAAGACTACGAATAGTATTGGCAGGAAGACTACGAATAGTACTGGCAGACGGATTCATAATATATTGGCAGACGGATTCATAATATATTGGCAGACGGATTCATAATATATTGGCAGACGGATTCATAATATATTGGATGAATGATTCTGACAGAAGAATGAGTGATGTATGAATACAAATATCGGCAACACGATTTAGAAATCCAGCGCTTCTATCACTCTGCAAAGGGATAAAAACGATCGATGGAGTATACGGGTGGTCTCTCATTATTGTTGAGTATTCGACATTGGAGTGTGGCTCAATCGATTGAGCAGAAGAATCCCCAACTCGTCGATATATTGACCAATCAAAACCCACATCACGAGTAATCAACTAGCCAATCAAATTATGATGATCCACTTGGTTGAACCAATTCAACATCGAATGAGTTTTCAGTTAGTCAAAAGTCAGGACAAAGAATCAGCACAAAAGTCTACCTAAAACGACTCATACATACGATATATGTACAATATCGTACGTAGCCCATGCGAATATAATAACGTACGATGGGGAGGACGAGGACTAGCATGGTAAAGAGCATAATAAACGGCAAAATCGTGTAGAAGTCGCCTTCGTGGACGTAGTACGGACTTCCGCTGAACGCGTGCGAGATGAGCGTCAGCGTGCCGTCGTTCGTGGCATTCAAAACTACAATTCACGACAAATTAAACCGAATGATCGTCATTACACATTCATATATATATATATATATATATATATATATCAAGCGTTTATATATATATATATACATACATGCTTGTTTGGTGTCAAATACTTGGGGCTGGAACACGGAAAAGAGCAGCAAATTGTACAGCAACGCAACGCCTACGCCACTCAGTTGCTGAAACACTTCGCGAACTGTCGACCCGATGTTGCGCCCGCAGCAAAACACAGTGGCCACGGCCACGTACGAGATGCCGCCGAGAATGTACCACTCGGGGAAGAACACCCACTGCTTCTCATGCGAGTTGGATGGCACTTGGACATTGTCCTTGCGGTACTTGGTCTGGACCATCGATGCCAAGAGCACGCCCACGGCCGTCCGCAGTGCCAGCTCCATATTGAACTTGAAGTCGGCTAACGATAACATGTTAGACACAATGATCATAATATGGGGTTTTCGTACGGCGGAACTTCACGTCCGTGCCGAGCGCGCGCGCCTTGCCCATGTTGAACTTCATTTTGCCGGTCGTGTTGTCTTCGTTGTTCTTGTTGCTCTTGTTGCTCTTGTTGCTTACGACGGAGCTCTGGCGCTGCCTGAGCCCCGCGTCGGACGGAGGAGTTACACTGGTACTCTCGCCCGCAACAACACGTTGGATCACAGTAATGGCGGGGAGGAGCGGTTGGTTGAGGCTGGCAGTGGACGACGAAGAATGATGGCTGAGACGACTGAGGGATCGTCGCATGAACCCGGCGCTTGGTTCAGCGGCTGCAGGCGGTCTAGGCAGCAAACAAGCGGGTGGGTAAGTGCTAGGCTAGGCTAGTAGCATGGTGAAGATAGTGATGGGCTTACCCTTGCATTCCCGTGGCGTCGTCTTCTTGCCGCGGTGGAGTCCTGGGACTACTTATCATGATGGTGTTGTGGTGGTGGTAGATTCACAGATGCAGAAGGTCAACCTTTCTGGAAAGATTAGCACTGTGCATGTGTGTGTGTCCCTTGTACTGTGTACGCGGTGAGCAATGCGGATTTCTGATGACACTTTAGCCAATCAAATGCCATGACTACGAATCCACCAATCAAACGACACCAAAGTGAATCTTGTCTTTGACACACATCATCCAGTAATTCACGTGCATTTACCTACCGTATAGTGTATATGCATTACGATGGATTAATCTATTGCGACACGGATAATTTTCTTGTAATAAGCTTAACTGATTTTTACGTGTGAACATGTTGAATATACTTCCAATTTGTATGTCGCAATGGATTAACAAAATTTTGAGAACGAGTGTCGGCTGGTTGTGAAATATCATCTGTCGCAATACATATACACTATACGGTAATACGACTGCAAGTTGGTTGGGTTTTGAGTAATGTACTATTATTACTGAAGTACCTGTAGTTATGTACTAGCATAACTAAGGTTGAGGGGGGGGGGTAGTTGGGTGGTCCAACCACAGGGTAATTCTGGGTTTCCCAACTTGCTGCATTAGGAAAACTCAGTGTAAAGCGATCATTTTATCCAAGTAGTAGGATACGTTGACATTATTTGACGCTTGGAACTTCTTGACGTGCATCACATAAGTCGTCGCTGACGCAATTTCAAGCGTTTGTGGCCACACAAACTTGACCTCGCTCCATGTGTGACCATCGATACAGATACGGGTACATTGAGAGTGAGCAAGTTTGTCGCTGGTGCTTTGACAGGGAGAATTCCCTCATCTATCGCTAACGTTATCCACTGAGATGTGCACTTAGCCCTTCGACGAGGTGACGTGGTCCAAGCATACAACATTCCATATAAACACTCAAATGACAGTGGTCTCTGAGAAAAACAACAGTGGGACATTTTGATGAGGGAATTGTACGCTTTGACTGGAATGGTATGCTTTGACGGGTAATCGCCACTAACGTTATGTGAGTATATCAGCAAACGTTCGCCAAAATGTGAGCGCACTTAACAAAGACTATCGCACTTACAAATATAAATCAAACATTTGACACTTTGAAATTTACTGTTAACTTACATGTTAGTTACCTTGAGAATAACAACTTGTGGACTGGGGGGAGGATTTCAGCCTACGCCGCAAACTGGCAAGGCTTCACTGAGGACGACTGGTGTCATGAAGTGTGTCCACCAGGATTCCATTAGATTGCCTTGTGGCTGACAGTGAATCGTTGTACTCATGTGCTGCGTCGTGTAGAGTGGCAGCAAGGCTATGCCCCTACCGTCTATTTAGACCAGCTATTACCATCGTCAACAAACTCACCAACATGACTTGGACTATGACTCTATTGGGACAGGAAAAATCCATACTCACAAGTCTTTATTAACAGTAAACGTGACGTGTTTGTAACAACGCCCCATGTTCTGTATTAACGACGGAATTGTTGTGATAACGACGAGATTATTGTGATAACGACTAGTCTTGTGTGAAGACGACTGGTTTTGAGTGAAAGTGACCAGTTTTATTGTGACAACGACGATTTACATGTACTAGCGCCATGTCTGCTGTATGTGAATCTAAATTGATCTTTTTTTGCTTTTTTAAATATTTGTTGTGACGGAGATATTACCTCTATAAGTGAAGGGAGCACGATAGTAATATCCGGTATTTAAGTTTGAAGGTACTAATTTGAGGTGTTACGTAAGTTGGGATTGATTGAATGCTAGTTACCCCTACTAGTAGTCTTTAATGTAGTCCACGAAGGCTTTGTCTGAGTGAAATTCCATTCCAAGAGCTAGGCTCATGGTAGCGCTGTTAATTGAAAGTGAATACTTGATATGGAGTAACTGAGATATTCTGTGCCAATCAATCTTGCTCCAACAATTTGTGGTTTTGTCTAAAGATTGGATTTACAATGTAATATTTGAGAAGTGCGATAATCTTTGTTAAGTGCGCTCATATTTTGGCGAAGGTTTCACATTTTGGCGAAGGTTTGCTGATATAGTAGTAGTTACTCACATATTGGCGATTACCCATGCTTTGACTGTGAACGTACCGGTACTACATACCTACCTCTAGTTATGCTACTATATGCTACTGTACTGTGCCTGCCTCGATTTGTGGCGCTCGGACGGGCATTTTTTTACAACGAGGACAAGGGTGGCTTGGACAACAGCGCCGTAGGTAGGGACTGTGTAAGTTAAGTAGATTACTAGCACCAGTTAAGCTTACCGTAACTATAAAACCAAATATACACCATATGTTTGGGTATTCCGATGACAAATTGCTATCATAACGTTAGTTAGAGTTGCATTTGTGTTTTACTGTCAGTCTACAGTTTGGAGCCTGAGGTGTGCCACACGACCTTGCCCTACAGTACTATTAATACAGTAGTACTGGTACTGCTGATATCCCTTTAGAACGGGGTACTACTGTAGCATGTACTAGTATGGACTACAGTATAACGTAAAAAACAGTTTACATGTAAATAAAACTTAATCAATTTGGATAACTTTGTATTGCCCAATCACACCTCGTTATTTGTTCGAGTCAAAACCTCTGTCATATAATGCTGACCTGATGTGTCAAAGTGTTAAACTCAGTGGACATCCTTCCATAACAGAAATTTAACTCTATAAACCAATACCCTTGTATAAATTATACGAAGCCTGTTGTAACAGCTTACCCTAAACTCAGAATTTCAATGCTCCGACACATACATACTTTAAGATAAAAAAGTTATCCTAAATTAGTTAATAACTTATCAAAATTTGAGACAAATGCTTACGAATTACTCCTAACAAATTTACCTGTGAAGTTCATCGTCTAAACTGATAATTATATTATGAAGTGAAAGTGACGCGTCTTTTCTTTTGGAATCACTAACTTACTCAAAACTCAAATATCGTAACGGACTCAAAAGTTATGTCAATTCTACTACGACGCCTCCAAAAAAGTTTTCTTAAACGGGTTTTTTCGTTAGTGACGTTTATTCGCATTTATCAGCAAAAGGGAATAGCTACCGGTAGTTTATCACCTATTAAGAACAGGGGGACTGCAGGTCGGCGAGGCATGTGAGTCGCTGGAGCTCGTCGAGGATAGTCTTGAGGTCAGCGTTGAGGACGCGAGGCAGCGACGTCATGGGGCGGCCGGGCCAAGGCTCAGCGACGGAAATGCTGAAGTACCGGAGTATGGACTTTAAGGACGGGTTGTCGACGGGACACAGCCGTTAGCGCAGTGGCTCGTCGGTGCAACGGGCATATAGCGCCGCGTATGAGGTGTGGTGCGGGTAGTTGACGCCGATAAGAACTCGAAGGTGGCTTCGAACGGGGTATTTTCGATAATTTTCTTACAGTTAAACTAATACTCCGACTACTACTTTGAAGTACGTAGTACCAGTAGTTATTAGTAACGTTACAGTGCAACTAACTCCGTACTATACGTTTGGGCATCCCCAGGTAAACCCTATTTTACCGTTTTCGGGGCAGTTTTGGCAACCCCAATGGTACGCCGGTACTAGTATCTGGCAGTAACAGCACATTTTTACCGCAAGTCGGCAAATCGGGTGTTTTCACCGTTTTATGAACAGCAAGCTAGAGGAGCCAATCATTGGCTACTATTCGAAGTATTTTCACCAATCAATTGCAAGCATGGATATCTCTTTAGTTAGATGCTCTCAGTAACGTTAAGCACGGTTGGTTAGAGTAAATGCAACGCAATATAAATCGGAGTTGCCTCCTATGACTACCCTATTGACTGGGTTGAGCGACACTGCTCGTGAGCATTTTTTGTACCTTTCGAAGTCAACAAGAGGGCAAATCGACTCTGCACGCAGCTTGAAATTCTCAGTTTTGTCCTCGTCAACATGAACTCTAGCCAGAATCGCTATGTACGCTGGGATTCATTGAGCGTAGGGCCCCATTCGTTGTCTAAGGTTATGTCGCCGTCGTCGTTGTTCCATGCTTCACAGTCAATCAGCCGAATCATCATATCCGGACGAGCCTGTTATGCGGACAACTAGTACTAACCTTCAGGTTCTGTAGGATCAAACACGGCAGTTTCAACCGTTTCTTAACTGCATCGAGGCTGATGTCATGTATGCAGTGCATTGTAGTGTCTTTCAACAACGAAAAAGATTAGCACAATTGTGTGTGCGTATTCTTGACGTCCAACCGAGTCAACGGCATTGACGAATCCTCAGGAATTTCTCCACTGCTCAATACAGTACCGGCAACGTTAGCACCACTTGTAAGCTTATGGCAAAACAAACCAGGAACAGTGCGTGACTCCGAACTCACAAAAAATAACCTTCATCAGCTTAGTTAGCTTGAGCATACTGTTCACACCCCATCGGTCAACCATTGTTATCGATTAAGCGCATATCCAGGCGATTTACGCTTGCAACACATTATAACCTCAAAACTTAATATACCGTGCAAATTGCTCAAACTAGAAAGCTGTTATAAAATGCCGGTAGTAGTACGTACTGTACTGTACTAAGAACTTACTGTAGGGAAGTAGTACTGTACATGTACTGGTACTGTACACACATTCAAGAGATTCGTCCAAGCTTCACCAAACGTCCCATAAAACGTAGGAGTACTCACGTTACCAGTACAGCAGTACACCGACCCGACCTTTTGGACAAGGGTCACACATCCAAGACATAAAAACCAACCGCTTAACTACACTAAGCTTACTGTACCTCGGGATGTCGCGAGACTGGAAAATGCAGTTCAAACGTGCAAGCTGTTACTTTAACGACTGTCAAACTTGATAAAGGAGATGGTCATTGATGCCTCTACTAAGTTTACAGTAAGTTACACGTAATTTCCGCCCAGGTTGCCTACAAACAAGTCTCATAACGTTATATGTATACTCGTCGCCCAAGAATGCGATGAGGCTGAGAAACATGCATCTACAAATAATCAGCTGTACATGGCCGCAATTCTAAATTCAGCCCAGGGGTTTCATTTGAATAATGTATGATAGATTTGACCACACAAATTCTCAGAACCTCTTTATAGTAATTTATTACTAGTAAGATGTATTAATAATATGTATTAAATTTAGAAGTCAATACTATTATCGTACTACGTTGTACAGTACTCTATTTTTATGTGCAACTACATTAGTACAGTACGTCGAAGTATAACTTTAATACTACGTAGTACTACGTAGTATTGCGATTTCTGAACATGACCGTCAGAAAACTCAAATATTTAAGGTTACAGGTATTCGAAACAAGAGTACATGCAGGTTTTGTGGATTTTGGTCAGGCCTCCTAAAATTGTCGCTTACGACAAAATAAACAAATTAGTCTAGTCGTCCTCGCCAGTGTTAGTTTGTCGTCTTACACATAAAGGCGGTTTAAGGTGCCAAAAAGGTCTTTTTTAAGGCGCAAAAAGGGATCATCGTGATATTTATACTACCGGCATCATTGCTTTCTGCTTGGCCGGGACAGATATATCCGTGCGATTCTCATCCATCTCCCATTTTAGGATGGAGATATCGCTCTCGTCAGCGACGGTATTGGCGTAGCACTTCCTGGAAAATAAACAATCGAGTGGTCCAAGATGGGCATAGAATCAAGCGACTCCTACTCCTGGCCGTTGGACTCGCCCTGGTTCACGATCGCGACGTCAAGCATGTCTGTCACTATGCCGACCTGCGCGTGGATGTGCGACTCCTACTGCGCGATGTGCAGGGATTGGCTGGCAGAACGGCGAACGTAATTTTGACGACATCGATGATCACGGCGATGCAGAACGTCATGAGCCACCATCGCAGGTCGCGTGTTGTCCGGACGTTTCTCAACGCAGAACTCCTTCGGCTCCAGGTGGTAGATCTTTTGGAACGTGAGTAGGCGGCCGAGGTGGGTCTACTGGTTTGTCTCCTTGGGACACTGATGTTCATGCGCTTTATAAAATTGGTCTGCTGACATGAAGATCGCGAAGGACCGGTGAATTTGATTCACGTACCAATCGCCACGTACTCGGCGGCCTGCTTGACGACTGGGTCGTTTTGGTGCCGTGCGCACCAAAGAGGGTGTTCGCCTTCTTCTTGAGCGGCATGAGGTTGCTTGTGCTATGTAAGGCCCGTGGAATCGCGTCCTCAAAGTGTGAGAAGGCGGATTAGACCTTCTTCTGCTGAATTTAAAATAACCTTAATTTGTCGTCCCACCCAAACTTAATTTGTCGCTTTCTTGCGTATTTTATACCAAAACGACAAATTTAGGAGATTTTGGTACATATTTCAAGACCGCCGTCGAATCGAATCACGCCGCCGAAGTGAATCATGCTATTGGCTCATCCATTTTGATTGGCTCTTACAGAAACGACAAGTAGAGTCAGCCAATCAGAACTTCCAGTGTGATTACTGCCAAATTTGATTTGAAAACCACGCGAATTTCGGAAATGCATGGCGAATTCACAATAATTTTTGGCCAATCATTATCATTTGATGATTGTGATTGGCTGTCAACTTGGCCGACATTACATGACTATGGATCACGCCGTGTTGACTGGTATGTTTGGACAGAAGACATTGCGTCATCGGTGGGGTCACAACGTTGTTGTTTCCCCTCTCCCTGGCGCCACAACTTTACAACAAGGACAGGCTACAACCCCAGTGGTGGCATGAGATTTCCTCTGGATCGTTCAACACCCATAAGCGGCATGGCACACCCCCTGAATGTCGCAATTCCATGAATTACACACGAGATGAGATGAAGTACTTCTAGGAACTCGTGTACATGTGTCACGAGCTTACACACGGTGTGGTGACAACACTGCACTCAATGATAGCTTCAAAAAATCTACGAATGTGGGCAGTGGGCAAACAGAACAACATTGACACTGCACGCACAAGACTTGTACTTGACCCAGTAGCAGCATGACTTGCCAACCACCTCCATCATGCCAGCCAAGGGCCGTTGTCGTGCCCTCGACCGCAAGAGGCGTCGCCTATTCGTTACGGTGCTGCTGCACCGCAGCTGGATTTGGTGAAAATGTTTGATTGGGTGTTGGGTTCTGAAAGGCCTCGTGACGTTTAACGGTATTTTCTCATCCAAAACCCTTTATCGGATATACGTTCCGTTTAACGTGTCCATAGAAACGTTATACCCACTTTGAACGCCGCCTTGTCTCTGCATGGCGCCTCCATACCCAATCAAATCGCTTGATTTCCTCACATCCAGCAACAAGCAGCCACAATGTTACGTCGCATGGTTTGGTGGGGAGCACTGCATAATCGCATCGAATGGCAGTTCGCAATGTCAGCTCCATTTCGCAATTCACCATGGCAGGTCCCGTGGTCAAGACACCGACGGACGCCGAAATAGAGGCTCCCGCTACTTCGTCGGGTGAAGCATCATTCCCTCTGAAAGCACGCACGTGGATCTTGTCCCACAAGCGGACTGCCGCCCTCGTGGCCGCGCTGGCCGTGGTTGGCACAGTTCTCGGTGCCGTCACGGTGGAGCATACGTTGTTTACGAACAAGGCGTCCCAGTCTGCGACGTCGATCTCGGGTGTGTGCTACGACTCGTACGACGCCGCCAACATGGAAAAGCATTTCGGTCTCATTAAGCAAAAGTTCAACGGCGTCCGCACGTACCAGACCAAGCTAGGCAACAAGAACATGGCTGCGGCCGCGGGGGAAGCCGGGCTCAAGATCGCAGCCGGCGCGTGGCTGCGCAACGGCAACGACTGGAAGGGCGACGTGCAAGCTGCAATCGACGCGCACAAAAAGTACAGCAACGTGTTAGCCATCTACGTCGGGAACGAAGACCTCATGCACGGGATCAAAGCAGGAGATATCATCGGCAACATTGCCACGGCCAAGGGCATGGTCAAATCTGCCGGCGTTAACATCCAGGTCGGCACGGTGCAAACTGACGGCGACTTCTTGGCCAACCCAGAATTGGTGAACGCATGCGATACTATCGGCATCAACATCTACCCGTTCTTTGGTGCATCCGAAGACTCGTGGAAGACACCCGTGAAGGATCTGACCGCGCGATGGAACGCGATTACGAACAAGTATGGCTACAAAAATCCGCGGCTCACGGAGACGGGGTGGCCGTCCGGCGGTGGCAACAACGGGGCCCACGTAAGCAGCTACGAAAACGCCAAGTCGTACTTTGAATCTTATTCGAACTGGGCGCGCAGCAGTGGCGGCGACGCCTCGTTTTACTTTATGTTTCACGACAACCCGGGCAAAGGCGGGTTTGAATCGCAATTTGGCATCTCCGACTCCAACGGTGTGTTCAAGTTCAACGTGGCACCAGCCCCAGCGCCAGCCCCGGCCCCAACATCTCCCCCCACCGCCCCGCCTACCGCCCCGCCTACGCCGCCTCCCACTGACCCGCCCGCGACGACGACGTCCCCCCCTAAGCCGACCTATCCCCCTACAACGAGCCCCCCTCCCCCAGTCACCACCGAAGCGCCTACTCCCGAACCCACCACCACGTCGGCCCCAACCACCACCACTTATAATTCGACCGCCCCTGAGGCTAGTACCAACACAACTACATCCTCGCCTTGGTGGAACAGCACCGACGTCGGGTCAAATAGCACCAACGGCACACTGGCCAACGCATCGTCGACGATCCTCCTGGACGCGAACACCTCGTCCCTGCATTTGCCAGACATCTGGTCCACCCCGACCGAAGAGAACGAGATCGACACGGGCGCAGTGAATGAAGGGGCGCCACAGCCGCCATCGTCTCCAAATGGCGGCGACGGCGGTGCTACGTCGTCGTCATATACGAACACGACCAAAGTGAACGGAGTGGCGCTCAAGTCGGGGAAAACCGAGAGCGCCCCAACCATCTCGATCCTCCTTGGAGTTGTGGCCGCGGTCGGCGCGGCCGCTGTCGTGGCGCTGATCGTGTACAACCGCCGCCGGGCCCAATTGGAAGATTCCAAGGACGACATTGAAGCGTACAATAACTCGTCCCGCGACTTTCGCTCCATCTTGCAGACCGGTCAAAGCCACATTGCCGTGTTGTAACGTAACCACCACCACCACGTTATGTGGGCCGTTCTTAGTTGTGTGATGTATTGTGTTGTTAATATTGGTTGTTGTACTTTTCATTGCATCCTCTCAATACCAAAATTAGCACCACAAACTTCTTGTATCGTTGCTAAATCAGAACCAAATTGTGAGAAAGCTTGTACTTCTCTAAATTGTGCTAATTCTAATTTCATAGAACCTACAATTTGTTTCATAGCTTTATACTGTTAATTTGAGCTTCTGAACCTACACGACTAACAGATAAACCAACAATAATAGAAATAACATTGTATAAGCTGACACATCACCAGCTTGAGTTTCACACTGTCAATAACAGGTAAAGCTGTTAAAGAACCTCCCCCAATAACATTGCTAAGCAACGGCTGTATCCATTGTACTAATATTAATAGTAGTGTTGATAAAGATTCCCATTACTATACCTAGAATAGTCATGGGAATCTAGTACTATTAATAGTACTACTAGAGTACTACTGTAGTACTAGTATATTTATACTTGAAGTATATGCCTGAGGTGTGTTTTCCGGATGCAAAAACAACCTCGTTATCCGGAAGACGGATACGGAGTTTCCCTGTGTATGTGGCAATCATCAAACTTTGCTTGCAGTCACTCGGAACCCAGCGGGGAGCCATGTCTGTGTCGCAGTTTTACATCCTCAGCAACCGTGGGGACGCCATCATCTCGTCCGACTTCCGAGGTGATGTTCCTAGCGACAGTGCCGAGACGTTCTTCCGCAAGGTCAAGTTTTGGGACAAGGGGGATGCGCCGCCGACGTTCCACATCGACGGGGTGAGCTACTTGTACGTGAAGAAGAACGGGCTGTACTTTGTGGCCACGACGCGGTACAATTTGTCCCCGGCGTACATTTTGGAGCTGCTGTCTCGCTTATGCCGCGTGTTCAAGGACTATTGCGGCGTGCTGTCGGAGGAAACGCTTCGGAAGAACTTTGTGCTGTGCTACGAATTGCTGGACGAGACCATGGACTTTGGGTATGCCCAGGACACGTCGACGGAAGGATTGAAGGCGCACGTGCATAACGAACCGATCTTGGTCGGCGAAGCGCTGCAGGCGAAGGAGCGCAACTTTTCGTCCGTGATCTCGCGCCAAACCAACATCAAGGCCGCCAACGCCGTGCGCAAGCCGGTCGCGAACGGCCAACAGACGTCCAAGAAGGCCGAGAACGAACTCTTCTGCGACATCCTCGAGCGCCTCAATATCGTGTTCTCCCCCAACGGCCAAATGCTCAACTCGAGCATCGAAGGCAAGATCCAAATGAAATCGTACCTTCAAGGCAACCCCGAGCTTCGCTTAGCCCTCAACGAGGTACCCCCCGCACTCCGTCCATCAATCCCAGCATGCATCATCATGAACATCTTCCTAACACACATGTCGATACGTAGGACCTGCTGATCGGCGCCAACAACCCGCGCGGCAACTACGGCAACACGTACGGCCACGTCGTGTTGGACGACTGCAACTTTCACGAATGCGTGCAACTGGACGAGTTTGAGCGCGACCGCGTGCTCACGTTCACGCCGCCCGACGGCGAGTTTACGGTACACTGTACCGTACACTGTACTGTGCACTGTACTGCGATGTAGGTGATGAACTACCGACTCACGGGCGAGTTCCGCGCGCCGTTCAAGATCTTTCCGTACGTGGAAGAAACCAGCCCGACCAAGATTGAGATTGTGCTCAAGATCCGCGCCGACATGCCCGACACCAACTATGGCGCGAACGTGATCATCCGGTTCCCAGTCCCCGCGTCCACCCAGAGCGTGACCACCGACTTGGGCAACAACGGCGCCGGCCAGTTGGCGGAATACCGAGAAAACGAAACCCAGGTAAACCGAGAGAGAATGTCACAACCCCCAGTACCCCCCCCAGTACCCCAGAAGCCCCCCGACTATTTATATGAATCCCCAAGACTGGCGGGGATTTCTCACGTTTCTGGCAGTCGCCCGCCCCCTGTAAAGCATTGCACGGTCGTGGACAACATGGGGATGGACTACTTACTACCCCTTGAAGAGTTTTAAGCCTTCAAAGTCGGGAGGATGTACATGCGATACGGGGGGGCGGGTGGTTGTATGAGATATTGGCGTCTAACAGTGTTGCGTAGGTCCGATGGGCGATCAAGCGGTTCAATGGCGGCGCCGAGTTTACATTGCGGGCCAAGATCACGCTCAAGGAACCCAACCCGCACGTACGCCGGGAGATTGGGCCTGTGTCGATGAACTTTGAGATCCCCATGTACAACGTGTCGACGTTGCAAGTGCGGTACCTCCGCATCCCCGAGCACGCGCGCCACCCCAACTACGTGTACAAGCGCTGGCTGCGTTATGTCACCCAGTCCAATTCGTACGTGTGTCGCGTGTAGCAAAGTACTAGTAACCTCGACGCCGGGCTACTACTAGTACTAGTACTCGTAATACATGGTGGGGACGACCACCGACTAACGTTCCTACTAGTACATTCATGTGTTGGGCTTGGGTTTATCGGTTGGTGTTGTGGTGGTTGCTTGTCGGGGGAGGGGGGCTTGAGTAGTGTATGTAGTGCAGCTGTAATATACAACAGTAGCCCATGGTTGTGTCTAGTAGTACTACATGGTACCTCGAAGTACTCAGTATACGGGTAGTTCAGTCAACTACACTACATACAGTATCGACAACACAAGTTTGTTAACTTTGCCCACCAGCACCAGTACTACTACTACTACTAGTCGTCGTCGTCGTTGTCGTCGTACTAGTAGGAGGGGGGGTATTACTAGTACTGTCGTGTGGGTGGTTTAGCAATCGGTTGTTGTTGTGGTGGGGGCTCCGACTACTAGTACTAGTACTAGTAGGACCCACGGATGGACACATGGCTTGAATTTGGTCGTACAGTGGCCGCAACGTCGGTTGAAACCACGTCGCATCCCATACTGTGTCGACACGGCCAAGTGTGGCGAGGGACGTGAGCAACGCTGTCGCATATACCGCCACACGGTGCACATCGTCTGAGGCAGTCCACGATGCCAAGAGTGTGGCGGCCACCACATGCATGGGCTCCACCCAGACAAACCATCCAGGCGAGTCATCATCCCCTTGAGAAGAAGAAGCTGCGGCGGCGGCGGGGAGCCAGATCTGGTCCATCACGGCCGACACGAGCACGTATTTGTGCTTGGACGCAACAAGCGACTGGCCCAATGCATGCAGGAACACCAAGTCTTTGACAAAGGCTTCGTCGTCCGCCATGGACGCTACCATCTTGAGCACATACGCCACGGGCCAGTGGTCTTGAATTGCGATAAGGAACATGTGCCGCACGATGCTCCGGAGGTGGGAGCCCCCGTTCGTCCGCAGCACGTCCCATCCACCTCGGTCGTCGTCGTCGTTGTTGCTGCTCCTTTGAGTAGGCGTGGACACTTGGTGTTTGAGTAGGCGGTACCGGCAGTACAACGGCAGTGCTACGCGAAGGCTGAGCACGGGGGGAGACCGCAGCACAAACTCGTGCCGACGCACCATCCGCCGCAGTGCCCCGACGTTGCCCATGTGCAGCAGCTGGACGACCCCGCGCACCATGGGGTCGTCGGTGGGGAAGCTGCCACGGGCCAACTGGTTCAACGTCCGCCACAACACCCCAAACAAGACCGACTTGACGATCGGATCGGATAGGACCAACACCACGTCGGCTAACAGCGGGTCGCACTCGCCTTCGAACACCATGCCTACGTTCGTACGTGGTTGAGATCATAGTGGCTATGCACTAAACAGAGGGAATTTTGTCAAAGGACCACCTGAGGTTTCCGTGTCGTTGGCGTCTGTCGCCGACAGGGCGCCGCTGGTGCCCAACATACACGTTGGCGATGCTTCTACGATCATGCGCTTGAATATGTATATATTTATTCATCATGTGGCGTGAAAATACACGTCGAGAGAATATAATATATATATATAGGAGGACATTGAAAACATGCAACGATTGTCCACGGTGAAAACCAACAAAAACCCGAAACATATAACGTTATGATATTAAAACACATGGAAAACATCCGTCAACAAAAATACCATCGAAACCCCGAGAAAAAATATGCTTTATTTTGTATTTTTTTCCGAAATAATATGACAAACGACCCTAGCTTTTTTATGTTTGGCTACCAAATGTGACATATACAAAAGTGACATAAGAATTCGATTTTTTACTGTTTTCTGACAGAAAAACGTTTGAACTGCAATAGTCCAATTTTTACCACCATGATATTCTATTTCGATAGTTCTGCTTCCATCATATGGCATCCAGAGGTCCCATCCAAATATTTTGAAAATATTTTCTCATTTTCTCACCTCCCATTTGAAACGGGAATATTAATTCTCTGTCAGAATATTAGTTGACATCAAAATTTCTGAGGCATTATTCAGACTCGGCCTTACACATGAGAAAAAAATCTTTTTCCAATGTGAAGAAACAATAACATCAAACGAACCTGAAAACAATATAAATAAAAACACGTGAACAAAAAACTATCAATGCGAATAAAATAAAAATAAAAACACAAACCATATTGTCGATTTGATACAAATTTGGGGAGGGGGTGCAATCGAATCGCGCCGACCAAATCGATACACAATCGATCTGATTGGTTAAATTTCATTGAGAAGGTTTTGGTTGGCTAATAATGTTGAGCTCTTCTGAAGTAGCCAATCAAATCGATTTAAATTCCAACGAGAAACCACATCTCAACACGACATTTCACTCGAAAGCACAATATATATTTCCAACATCCCGTGAAAACACATAAACTCCCACGGATGATTTCGTACCAGTTTGCGCGGCGGCCGCGATGGCCTTGTCCAGCCAGACCGTGCTGAGTTTGTCCAGACGTTTGGCTTCTTTGTGGTAGATGGTCGTGTCTTGGTTGTATGTCATGCAATTCGTAAAGATGAGTCGCATGTCGGCGGCAAAAGCGTCGAATGTCCGGTACTTGAGGTTCTGGACGTGAAGCCGCAGCGTAGAAATGTCCATGGGGTGGGTGATAACGTCATGATACCCCTCGACGTCGTCGGGCACGGGGTCGGCAAAGATGCGGCGGCTGTCGGCCTTGGCGAGCTGGTCCACGAGCTTGAGCAGTGTCTCCTTGGGGACGGGAGGGGGAAGCGCCATGTTGCCGTCGTCGTCCTTCCGCGGCAAATCGCGCAGCCGCAGCTTGCGCACCACGAGCAGCAGCTCTGTGACATGGGAACGCTCCATACCTCGGCGCTTGACGGCATGGTCTAAGATCCAAATGAACTTGTGCAGCGGGTCCGTGCGCCCCAGCGGCGTCGCGTGGTCGCGCTGGAGGTTGGCCACGTCGTTGCGCAACGTTCCGATGAACGAAGCGAGATATACATAGTCCTTAGCGTTGGTGGTGGATGGGTCAGTGCCAGGGACGGCGCCAGACGCAGCGATGGTGCGAAGCATGTCAATGCATTGAATGTACAGCTCGGCCGAGTCGCCAATCATGTCCGTAAACGTGGCGAGGACGGGATCGTGTTTTCGACGATCTTCGGGGGATGGAGGAGGATGGTGGCCGCCTGTGGATACATGCAAATCGAACGGGGTCGGGTCGTCGGACGCGTGAAGGAGGAGCACGCGCTTGTGCTGGATGTACGCCGCCACGATCTTGTCGACTTCGACACGGAGTTCGTGCGGCGCGATGGCCCAGATGCGACGTTTCACGAGCAAGGGCAAGTGCTCCAGCAGCGCGCGGTTGTCGTGGTCGCACAGTTCCTGGAGGAACGACGCAGGGGTCGACGATTGTGTGGCCAGGACTGCGATGGGGATTGCGCGCAGCTCGCGCATTTCCAGATACGGAAACGTGAGTTCCAGCAGTTTCTGGAGCTGCGCGTCGTCCATTTTCTTGCTGTGGATGCGCTTGAGCAACGCGGCTACCATCGCTTCGAGCAGTTTGGAATGGGTCTCGCTCCGCCGACACCCCAACAGATCCAGAAGCTGGAGAGATGCACTGGTCGTCTCTTCCTTCAACCCATACTGCTTTTGGAAGGAAACAATGGCTTCTTCAGGCTGCGATGCCGTTCGAAGAATGTCTTGAAGCATGGCACCGCCGCTGCTGCCCAGCATCGTCGGGTCGTCCGCTGCCATCGTCAACGTTGCCGCTCGATAAAATTCCAATAATTCCAATAAAAACAAAACCTTTAATACTTGATACCATGAAATGCGGTAAGGATTCCTGTGAAAGACAATACTTGGCCTGCCCTCAAAGGGCATATCGGATAATTATCCGGAAACTACCGCCCCACCACCCATTTTGGTTGAAATATTTGCGCCGCCGTCGTAGCAAAGGATCATTTTCGAATTTAGAACTGGCCCAAAGGACGACGCTGCGGATGCCAACTTTGCATGCGCAGACAGTCTCCGCCCCATTCATGGGGATACAGAGGCCAATATGGAGGCAACTTCTAGGGATCACTTCGGATGTAATCGGAAGAAGCGGTTTTCACGAAGTTCAACATATTCGACATACTTTACGCGAATGTAGATAGGTTGTTAGCAGAGGTGGCCACCGTTGTACTAGTAGCATCAAAGTCATGGCGAACGACGACATACCATACCCTACGCTGGAGTGTCCTTAACTAGTGTGTTGATTGTCGTTTGAGGGATAATCAGTCAAGTCAAAAGTGGTGGCATGACGCGCTATTTGCACAAGAAGTGCCGTGAGGTGGTTGATTGCCCGATATATGATATGGCGACTTCGTACATACACTGTCGTACGATCCAAACCGTGTTTCCTTCGAGGCATCTCCGCTGGCTCCCACCGGCATACTACATACTAATAGTAAGTTACATCTATAGTACTAGTATTAAGTACCACTGGTAGCAGTTCATTTGAAGCTATGTACAGTCTGTGGTCTGTCTGTAATGGTACTAATGTAGTCGTGGCTCCAAAGGATTTGATGGGCTCTCACGGCCACAGCAGTAACCAATTTCTTCACATCAAGCCAGTGAAGTACAAACGTAAAACTTTGAACGACATGCTCATCGTCGCTGGATAGGTAGGTGCCCATTTTCTGTCCATCGTAAAGGGTCGTGTCCGGATAACTAGGCCAATCCCTAAATAGCTCACCACAAAGTAGGATCCCTTGAAAACTGAAAAACGCCCGTTGGTGCCATGTTTTGACCACTGGTGGCATAGTTTTACAGTACGTAGGTGAGTCTCAGGCGTACGTCCCCTCTGAATAACCGGATGTGTTTGATAATAGCCAATGGCATTGCGTAGTAGGTACGCCACCTGCGGGAGTCGATCCCACAGGTACTCACTTTGGTACCGGTAGACAGTACCTAACGAACGCCACACACACAATCTACCGGTACATAACTACGTAGTTGTCGTGGATGATACGAGGGCTGCCTCACCACGGACATGTGTGGCACGTGCCAGTGCTGGCGGCGGCGTGGGTGGGGATGGCGGGCTGGCTCGTGGCCGCGGCGGACGCCACCGTGTGGCAGGGCAACATCGTCGGCCCGGCCAAATGCAACACGACGCGTTTGTGTGGCGTGGCCGTGCCGACGTTGACCACACGGTGCGCCGGCATCGAGTTCGACCAGGCGTATTGGGTCAAGCCGGACGATGTCACATGCATATGGTTCCCCAATGGCACCGTGTGGCGGGGCATGAACCGGACGCGGTACTCGCCGTTCTACGGGTCCGATACGCGCAACGTCAAAAACGAAATCCGAGGCGGCATCGACGTCTCGGTGGTCGAATCGTGGCCAAACTCGGCCCATTTGTTGTACGTACGGGCGGCTTTAATGCTAACGTTAGTGTGGTAGAGTCAAATATACGGTATATGTCAAGTAGAATCCTCAACGACCTGGGCATCGACACCATTCCTGACGACTCGTCTGTGGATGCCGCGGGCGTCGAGCTCCTCGCGCTGCAAATGTACGAACTCAAAACCAATGAAACCCCACCGTCTCACAACGACTGTTGTGTGTAGCCAATTACAAAACAACAACTTGACCAAATTCGACTCGAAACTGAGCCCGTGGACCAAGGAATTGTACGTTCCTTCCTCTTGATAATATATATATATATATATAGCAGGCATATCACGGCACTGTGCACCCCCCACGCGTAGAATCGTGTGCGACAACCAAATCTCAGCATTGAATTTAACCCGAACGAAGTTGGAGTTACTGTACATCCAACGCAACTTGATCACAGACCAAGTCATGGAGCAAGCCAACTTGCCATCTACCATCGTCGAGCTGTACGAGGCAATATTCTATGCCTTCATCCTTTATCCATAAACTATATGAAGTATAAAAGGGTTTGATTGAATGTAGAAACGTCGGCCACAACAAGTTGACGTTGCGGTCATTGTCGTGGCTACCTCCCAGCCTGACCATCTTGTAAGCTCCCCTTCGACTATATATAAATATATATATATTCTAATGTAATATTTAGACTTGCAGACAACAACTCGATCACAACGCTGCCGCCGTCCACAACTACGTGGCCACGGACATTGGCGAATCTTTCGCTTGAAAACAACTCGTTGACACAACTGACGGCGAATTTCCCCTCCACGCTGGCGTGGCTGTATGTTTGTATATTCATCTTTTGTCCACTCAATATCGATGGTTATCTTAGATGTTTGGGGGGTAACAACAACCTTACGACAATATACGCCAACCAGTCGCAGTTTGAGATCCTCTCGGCGCTTCAGAACCCATCCCCCACCGCATTGGTGTCGTCCGTCCCCGCGGGCACCGACGACCTAAGTGATAACATCTTCTCCACAATTCCGTCCAACGCCACGTGTCAAGGGCACATTCGCACCGAGCTCTTGTTTGGGAAATTTCCCATTTGCATCCTCCCCGACGACATGCCCCCCCCCTCCGTCGGCTTGCCGTCTCCGCCCCCCCCCTCTCCTTTGCCTTCCGTTTCCCTTTCCCCCAGCACGCTTTCTATGGGGATTGTTGGGATTGTCACAGCGATTGCGGGAATCCTTTGCGTCGTCGTGTGCTGCCGGCATCGTCGTCGGCGGCAGCACCCCCCGGATCCGTACATGGCGCCGCCTCTCTGCGACAAGGATGATGATCGCTTGTCGGGGGGCATGCTGACGGGTCGGCTGCATCTGGACATTCGTTTTGAAGACGCGTTCGTTCCGTTCCGCATCCCCGCCGCGGCCATCGAGCGGCGGCGGGTGGTGGCCCGCGGGGGCTTTGGCATCGTGTACGAAGGTGTTTGGACGCAATCGGCGTCCGTCCATGTACCCGTGGCGCTCAAGCGGCTGCTGCCCACACACGTCGACGACCTCGGTAGCGTCGACGACTTTATGCACGAAATACGAGTGTATGCGACCCTTGGACACCCGAACATTGTGCACTTCCACGGCATCACATGGACACACATTTCCAACTTGGCGATCGTGATGGAGTTGATGCCTCGGGGCGATGTGTGGTCGCTACTGCTGAACCACCCTGTCACGAACGCGTGGCACGCACTGATTGGTCCGGCGCCATCATCCACGACAAAGTACACGATCGCAATCGACGTACTCCAGGCGCTCGTGTACCTCCATGGCCGACATGTGATCCACCGAGACATTAAAGCGCGCAATGTACTGCTTACGGATGCGATGGAGAGCAAACTGACTGACTTTGGGTCGAGTCGGCGGCTGGGGGGGCGGCAAGCCGACGACGCGACGATGACCGCCGAGATCGGCACCGCTGCGTGGATCGCCCCCGAGGTGCTCAAGGGCGTGCGGTACACGGAACAAGCCGACGTTTACTCGTTCGGGGTGCTTCTCTCCGAGATGGACACGGCCACGATGCCGTACGCCGACCTGTGCCGCCCTGACGCCAGCGTCACCATGACCCGTACCCGCATCGCCGTGCTCGTCGTCAACGGAGACATCGCGCCGACGTTTCACGCGGCTAGTCCCATCAAGCGCGTGGCCCTGCAGTGTTTGCAGCACGCCCCCGACCTCCGCCCCACCGCCATGCAGTTGCTCGACACGTTTCGAAACATGCGGCGGCTGCGGGATGAAGAAGCAGCAGCAGGACGACGAGGTCACGGCCCCCAGTAGGACAGTACTACACTTGGTTATTTAGCATCATACATACACGATACATGTCGTTGTGACGACTGGACCGACTATTCATTTAAACATGGACACGTCGCCTACTTGCCCACCCAACACATACTATGTATTAATAGTGAAATTTCATTGTGTTGTGGTGTGGTTTCTCGTGGGAATTTAAATCGATTTGATTGGCTACCTAAGATGTAGCTCAAAATTATTAGCCAATCAAAACGTTCTCAATGAAATTCAACAACCAATCAGATCGATTGTGGATCAGTTTGGTCGGCGCGATTCGATTGCACCCCCTCCCCAAATTTGTATCAAATCGACAATAGTACTACGTAGTAACTACGCGGCCATTCGAGAACTTTGTACCACTGCAGATGCTCTAATAAGGAGCCACATGGACAGAATATTCCGCGACCAGCCCCTGCAATCTATATTCTGTCGACTTCGCTGCTACTGTACTGCTTACAATGTCGTGGTGTGCAAACTAACGTTTTGCGCTGTATGTACTAGTAGTACTATATCGCAAGCCACACTACAATGTGTACAGTAGTACAGCTAGCTGTATACTATCCACCCCCCACCCCCCCACATTTTTTTCCCCCTTGGAAAGTGTCACATCGCCTTGTATATATATTGACATCGGACTACAATACAATACTTGCTACTCATTTGATCGAGCGTTCGCCATGGCCGCCCGCTTCCGCCGTTTGGACACCCTTGTACTAGTCGACCTTGATCGATGCGTAGATCTTCTTGGTGAACCACAGCGACGCCATGACGCCGACGGTGCCGCAGAGGAGCGCCAACGCCCCCGACGCGATCGACATGTACCCAAAGTACAGCATCGAGCCAATAATGTTGTCCACGTCGAGGCGGGTCCAGTAGTAGTAGGTCGAGTAGAGCAGGACGTACCCGCCGCACGACCCCGACACGACAAACGACCGCCACCACCAGTTGTAGTCTTCGCCACACAGTTGAAAGTACGTCAGCACGATCGTAATCTCCATGCACGTGCCAAGCAAGATCACAAACGACAGCAAGAGGAACCCGTACACGTAATAGTAGTGGTCAGTCCAGATGGACGTGAGCACAAAGAAGAGCTCGACAAAGATGGCGCCAAACGGCAAGATGCCACCCACGGCCGCCGTCATGGCGTTCGTCATGTACCATGGCTGCAGCGGAATCGGCCGCGGGATGTTGCTTGTGGACACGGGAAACTCGATCGACGGCTGGCGGAACCCGTAGAACGCGCCGAGAAACACCAACGGCACCGACACCCCAAACCACATGACGATCAAGAGCACCATGGACCCAAATGGAACGGCCGCGTCCGACCCCGCGCCCCACACAAACAAGTTGAGCAGGAAAAACGTACCAAACATTAGCCCTGGGAACAGCGTCGACGTCAAAATCGTGTTGAGCTGCCAGCGTTTGCCCTTGAACAGCTTGTACATGCGCGAGGACGCGTACCCGGCCACCATGCCCATGAGCACAAAGCACACGAGCAGTGCCACCATGAGCTTGCCGCGGTTCGACGGCGCTAGAAACCCCACGGCCGCAAAGAACAGCGTGCTCGTCGACATGCCCAGCAACTATATATATAATATATATGTTAGAGGGTTAAGAGGGTCTTGTCTACAATGAAAATGGTACCTGAAACCCAGTCCCGATCATGACGCAGTACAACATGGGCTGCGTCGTCGGCGGACGAAACACATCCGCGTGCACGAGCTTCCAGCCTACAGATACACCACGAGGAATGTTAGATACAACCCATATCTACATGGAATATTCCCGTATATATAATATATATATATATTGTCAAATCGATTCGAAACTGGAGCCCTCAGCAGAATGTCTTAAAAGGATGGATTAAAGAACCACCGAAGCCAATCAAATCACGTCCTGGCGAATTTCTGCCAATCACCAAACGATTGATTCGGCCCAGTCCCTCCGGATTGGGCAAAACCATATATATATATATACTAATCTTTGTATAGTATAGTTTGCAATAAAACTTAAATTAGATCAAATGGATTCGAATGCTATTTGACGAAATGACTCACAAGTCTAATTTTGGGTGAAATGCACAACACATACATATATATCGAGTTGACGATATATATATTCGTCAACTCGATTCGGTAAATTGGAGTGGGGCGCTCAATCGAACAAGCAGCACAAAATCGGCAGACAATCGATCAACCAATCAAAACACAAAACACGAATCAAATAGCCAATCAAATTCACTCTTTGGCCAATTCAACATCGAATCGAATTCGTGTGTGTGACGTTGAAATTAGTGTGACACTGGACGAATTTTTAAAAGTCAGAACAAAGAATCGATCGAAAGCTTTGGCGAATCAGTACATAAAAGTCCAAATATTGGGTAAAAGAAACACAATATATGCTTGGGGCGAATCACAAGGGAGAGAGATCAACGACGTACCCGACTCCTCGCGCTCCTCCATGCGCTCTTCCTCTGTCGGGACGCGGTTGTAGCGAGAAATGTCGCGATGCAGCGACCGCATGAGGATCATGCCAACCATGCCGCTGAGAAACAGCACGATCAAGAGCGCGTTGATGATTGAGAACCAGTGCACTTCGTCGCTGCCGCTGCCGACCTCAAAGTACACGTCCCACCGCGTGCGCCACGTGCGCTCGTTGTCCTCGACCCATTCCACGCTGTACGTCCATGTGATTTCCACGTCCTTGTCGGGAGTTTCCAGCAGGTACAGCTCCTTGGGCTCGTTCGCCGCCGGCTCGCACACGTTCATGCGAGCGGGGGTTTCGCCGGCGACCAAGTTCTTGGATTTGTAGTCGTAGCTTTGGGGAATCACGACAAAGTCCACGATGCGCCCTTCGTCCGGGTTGGGCGTGGTAAAGTCGTCCAGGTTGTTGTACGCGATGCGAATCTTAACGTGGTTGTTGAGACGCGGCGTCTTGTCCAAGTCCTTGTTGTAGTTCCCGAGGGGAAACCCTAGCTCCAAGACGTCGTCGTACTTGACGCTCGCGGGGAGGTTGTCCACGATCCAGTTGACGCGGTACTTTTCCTGCACCATCGTGGCGAATTTGTGCACCTGCTTCGAGTTGTACGTGGTCGTGCACAGCACGGCACATGTCTTGGGCTCGAGGAACTTAAGCACGTACGGCGAGTTCTCGATGCGGTTTGCAGTCAAGTACTCGCCGAGGTTCTCGCTCTTGTACTCAATCTCCTTGGGCGTGCAGAACGGGAGGTTGTAGTACTCAATGGGGAGCAGCGTCTCGGGCGAGCTCAACGAGTTCACAAACAGCGGCACGTCGTCCCCCCGCTTGTACGTCACCATTTGGACGCCCGGCAGGTAGAACGCCGACGCTGCTTGTGTCAGCAGTAGCACGGCGCCGCTCAACGACACCTTTCCGACCATGCTTGGATCACTTCACGTCCAGGGATGAAACTCCGAATGAATGCTTTCGCAACACTATAATATATTCGAATTGTCTCTGGGAGTTTGTATACACATGGAAAAAAATACCCACGCGCCAGTAATACCACGCCAAGTCATACTATAGTATTATGTATCAGAGGTTTGTTTACTCCAATATATGAACGTATCCAAACCTGGACCTCTTCATGCAGCATATTCCGCTAGAGTTAGTCCTTCTGTGCTTCACGACCATCGTGTCCCAATATGGTGCGTAGACTGCGCGACAGTATGGTACGACGATAATACTACTGGGAGTTCAAGCTATCGGTTTTAATGCTGTTACCAAGCGGTACAGGTACAGTAAGTGATTCATAGCAAGTTTGTTGATAAACCTTCGGAAAATCCATTTCTACAGGATATGTTAATTTAGAGGTGTAGAAGCTTGTACTGTACTGTAATGCTCCCCCAGTCCGGACGACCAAGCCAGACGTTGCCACGATGTCGGGCCTTCGTTGGACTTGTCAGCGTCTGGAAGAGCTGACGGCGGTCCAAACGTACAAGATCCTGCAGCTCCGATGTGAAGTTTTCATCGTGGAACAGAACAGTGTTGTGTTGGAGGTCGACGGCCGCGATACGGCCGAGTCGTGTGTGCATGTAATGGGCTGGAACGACGTCGGCGACCTCATGGCGTATGCTCGCGTCTTAGGGCCTGGTACGATCGACTCGAACCAAACGACGTCAGTCATCGGCCGGGTGGTGACTCATCCCAAGGCCCGAGGATGCGGGGTCGGCAAGGCACTCATTCTCGAAGCGATCCGCGCCAGCGAAGTGAACTGGCCAGGTGCACAGTGTCAGCTCGGGGCTCAAGCGTACTTGGAGTCGTTCTACACAAAGCTGGGTTTCGAGCGGCTAGCGGACGTGGAACCATACGAACATCATGGCATTGCGCACGTCGAGATGTGTCTGCCGCCATCTCCCTCTGATTATTCTAGTTGAAGCTCAAATATACTAACGTTAGTAGTTAACCCCAATCTCGCTGTCATGATACTGCCGTCGTGTTGCGTACTACGTAGTACAAGGCAGTTTGATTCACACTGGTTTTTCATGTCTTGTTAACAGTTACTTAACAGTTACTACGTATTAATACTACATACCGAGTAGTAGTACAGTAGGTTGTCCTGTATTGTGTATTCTACTCATAATCGCCAGACCTTCGAAATTTCATACAAAATGAGTTGAAGAGGTATCTTTGTGACTGCATCAATCAATCTTTTTAGCCAATCATATTTCAAATTTCGTATTCATTTCAGCCAATCATACTCCTTTACTCGATTAGTTGGCGATTTCATCAATCCCCAAAATAACGTTATGGCAAATTTGGCTGATAGTGAAAAGCACAATACTAGTACCCGGTACTAGTAGTAGTAGTAGTTAGTAGAGCACTCCGCATCGTTTGAATTTTACCTGTACTCACATACAGTACGTACGTATACTTCGAGGTACTGTAGTATACTACTTATGGCCACACACACACTCTTACTCTTATGAGTTGATCATGAAACTCTCCCATTGGTCAGTCTGAGAAATTTTGTCCCTGATTGGCTTTTCTTTGTACTTTTCGTTCTTTCTGCGGAATCGGGAAAGCTAATCAAATTGATCGGTTTAACGAATCACCGAAAATTGGGAAATTTGTAGCAAATTCATAATATTCCATAGGTAAATTAGAAACAAAGATTGCTTTTACGCCACATTTCATCGAGATTTATGCATGTTGTACAGGAACAATATTTCATGAATTCCCTTAATGCAGCATTGCCTAGTTGGTGCAATCCGATTGGCCACAACCTACGTAACCGTGCCACCTGAGCGAGTCATCGACACTTCAATTGCCAGGCTCACAACTAACGGCCTCTTGCTCATCTTTGTGTCCACCACCACCACATGAGCAGCGCCAAGCCATTGCTGTCCAAACGTCAGTCGTCGTCCTCCTCTTCCTCCAATGGCATCATGCACAAATGCCAGCTTTCGACCAATCGCAGTCCAAAAAAGGTGTGTTTGGTCGGGTCGGGCAACTGGGGCTGCGTGATTGCTCGAATCATTGCGGCCAACATGGCGTCAAGCCCCGACGTATTTGACCCTGTGCTCACCATGTGGGTGTTCGAAGAGACTGTGGACGGCCGCAAATTGTCCGAGATCATCAACAGCGACCACGAAAACGTCAAGTACCTGCCGGGGTACAAGCTCCCGACGAATGTGGTGGCCGTGCCGGACCTGAAAGAGGCCGTGACGGGGACCGACGTGTTGATATTTTGCGTGCCGCACCAATTCTTGGGCAAAATGCTGCCTCAGATCAAGGAGCAAGGGCTCGTGCCCGACTGCATTGGTGTGTCGTTAATCAAAGGCATCGATTTCGACGACCAAGGAGTTGTGTTGGTGTCGAGTATCATACAAACCGCCCTCGACATTGGTATGACTATCAATCGAATATGATGATGACCCTTGAACGGTAGTAGACGGATCGCTTGACTTGTCTGGTTGGTAGATTGTAGTGTGCTCATGGGGGCAAACGTGGCCAACGAAGTTGCGGCGGGCGACTTTTGCGAGTCCACGCTGGGCTGCAACGACTTGCGCCATGGGGCGTTCCTGCAAGACCTGTTCCACACCAACCGATTCCGGGTCAATGTGGTTCTGGACCCCCATGGCGTCGAGTTGTGCGGCGCGCTCAAGAACGTGGTCGCGTTGGGCGCGGGGTTCTGCGACGGCCTCGGGTACGGCGGCAACACCAAGGCGGCAATCATCCGGTTGGGGCTGATTGAAATGAAGAAGTTTTGCTACCGGTTCTTTGATGGGATCAAGGAGGACACGTTCTTTGAGAGCTGCGGCGTGGCGGATCTGATCACGACATGCTTTGGCGGCCGGAACCGCAAATGTGCCGAACTGTTTGTCAAAGACAAGGGCGTGACGTGGGAAGAGATGGAGGCGACGGTGCTGAATGGGCAGAAGCTCCAGGGCACGTGGACTGCCAAGGAAGTGTACCGCATCATCGAAAAGACCCACTCGTTGCCCGAATTCCCGCTATTCGTGGCCATCTATCGCATAGCGTTTGAAGGTGCCGACGCGTCGACCCTGGTGGACGTGTAGGCAGTTGAAACATGATCCGAGGAATGCTATAGACGCTTGCAAATTCGCGTTGACTACCAGTATACTCCGAGTAGTAATTAGTAACTGTTGTATGTGCTACAGTACTGTATCGACGTGCATTATGGACATGTAGAGGTACATTTATGGGACCAAGAAGCATGCAAGATGTCGCCCGCTGTTGCTGGTAGAATTCCAAGTCACACCCCGGTGACAGAGATCCCATCCATTCCCTGGTACTCCAACCCCCATCACTCTGCAAGGGCGCCAAAAAAGCCCGAAAGAAGTCGGCCAACCAAGATGCCATGACTGCCTCCAAGTAGATACTAGTTAATTGCTCTAGTAGGTTGCTGGCATAGGAACTCAACCCCATTAAGTTTAATGTACACTTCTCACCCAGTGACAGAGATCCCGTCTATGGGTACAGTACTGTACTGTTTACCATAGACGGGCTGGTGGAAATATGGTGACCTTTGGCGACTCAACACACCGAAACATCTTGTGAGGTGTGCAAGGTGGAATGTTTGCGAATGACAACCATATGGTGAGGTGAGATTTTAACTGTAAGTTCACAAACGAGTTAGAATGCAGATTGATTGGTGTAAACAAAGATAAGCTGTAACGTTATCAACGACGTCGTGCACTTGTGCTGTGTGTTGCTGTTGCGGTTGCCATCGAAGCCGTCTTCTCGTCGACCGATGGCCGTAGCTACCGCTCCTCCATTACAAACCACTTTGTCGTACAGAGCAACACTTCGACTATTGTCCAGAACACTCCGACTCTTGGCGCATGGTTCACGCGACACCTTTAATGCACGCGTGGCACATACGATCGTATCTGCACCAACGTTGAGGTGGCATGGCATCGCGTTCACCCCTTACTCCATCACAGCAACACAATGAGCATCCTTTGGGTTCCTTTCGTTGCTTCAAACTAGGTCCTGCCTACCGTGGTATGGGCTACTAGATTGTCTTACTGTTAATAGCCAATAAATTTTAGTGTCGCAAGTGCGAAAATATTTTGCCAATATGGTGCATGTCATCTAAAAACTCCCAACTGGCCAAATCGAAGAGTGGAGGTTTTATTATTTAACGTACATTAACCAGAAAAAGCAAGGTGAAATAAACAATTTTGTATGCTGCGCAAGGTGAACCACCTTGCGAATTCCATAAATAATTCTGAAATTGTATAGTTTCAATTAAATATAGCTTCAAGTTTGTATTGATGATTTCTATTTTTCATGTGTCTCTTTTTGGAATTCGCAAGACAGGTCACCTTGCGAATTAAAAATTGTCCACTTTTGTCCAATCAGATGCGGTGAAACAACGAAAATCGCTGCATAGATTCATCACGCCCTGTTGCGATATATTCCTGTGATGGCGGTTGATGCAAGGAGCCTTGAGATAATTGTAGGCTGTGTATGAGAGCAAGATCATGTGATGTGGTATTCAGGACTCAGTCAATTCTAACAGGTCTCATTTCACCACTTGCCTACTAACCCAATGAAATTGGTCATCCCTCATTCCACCATCCAACCCGTGTCGGTGCCGCACACCTCCCTGCCGGTGTGATCGCGTGATTGCGCGGGCGGTGGCGCAAGACATCTTGGTGGCACCCATCGCAAGTGCT